AGGAAATGATTGTTGCTCAGAAGTTAATTGTTTGGCATCTTGAGCTTTCTAGAGAGAAGTGCCTTGGAAATAAAAAATAAGATTTAAATTCTGGGGGACCCACTGGTGACAGCCACAAGTTGCTTTTCATTTAGAGCCATTCTTCATGGTTTTCTAAGCATTGTTTCAATCCATACAACGGCCTTGTGAGAGAAGAGCGGTTTTCACCCCATTCTACACTAACGGAAACTGAGGCCCAGAGGTGCGATGTGACTTGTGGGGGAGTCCGTCAGCCGCAGAGCTTCGTTGAGACCCAGTTTTTCTGGGCTCCTGGTCTTTCCAGCACCCCAGGATCCTCTGAGTTTGGGGGGTAGTCTTGGGGCTGAGAAGAGCAAAGCCTGCCTCTGTCAGACTTGGGGACTTGGCTGTAGGCTGGTGTCTCTGGCCCAAGGTTTGTGGAGTCCAGCTTCCGTTTTGGGCAAGTCATGAAATCTCCCTGAGCCTCCATTTCCTCCTCTATGAAATGGAGATGGTAAAACTGGCTTTGCAGGTTAAGGGAGGTAATGTGGGCAACGTGCCTGACACATAGTAGGTGCTGGACAAGTATAGCCCAGCCCCTCTGCCTGCTTGACCTTGTGCACCTGTCCCTGAGGTTGGTGACCTACCTGTTGTGATGGCAGTAGGTAGGGAAGGGTCTTGCTGTGATTCCACTTCAGTTGCTCCTCTTCTCAATGTCGACTGAGAGGCAGCTGAGGGTCCCATCAACCAAACTCACCTAAGTTCAGACCCAACAGAAAGAAATAGCTTCTGAAGTAGAACCTCCCTTTCTCGCCGCCCTCTCTGTCAGGGTCGTGTGCATTTACAGGTAGGAAGCAGCAGCAGCTCCTTTTACCGACAGAAACGGAAGGACGAGAGAGTAACTCCCCGCCCAGGCTCACCTGACGCATCCTTGAGGCAGTGCAGAGTAGAATGAAGTCATTTTCCTATTGAGCTTCTCCAGACTGCTCCTAACTTCGTTTGTTCCTTTCAGAGGGGAGGCAATTGAGTTACAACTCCAGCTCACTGTTTTGAGCTTCAGCCCAGAGCCTTCCAGCAAAATAACCAGCATTCATGCAGCCCAGACCCAGGAAAAAGTCTTTGTTCGAATCATCCCACTGTACTCTGGGAATCCAGATAGCACAGAAACCTGGCCAGCAGGCTTTTAAGTTAATAGGTTTGATTTAATGACACGAGAGTCTGCCTCCCCATAGCATGTGCAGGGTTTCATCTCCTCTCCCTTGGTCTGTGTGACTCCCGTGCCTAAGGGCAGGCTGTTGGGAACCGAGCCATCTTCCCAGCTGCGCAGCTCAGGGCACATGCACTTCTCTGGGGGAGGAGGAGGGTTCTTGGGTGAACCTTGCTGGGAGTATACTTTGGTCTGAGGAGTTGAGGTCAAATCGTGTCTTCCCGCCAGGCTTTAGTGTGGTATCCCGCCCTGGCTGAGCATTGGCCTGCAGACTGAAAGGTTGCAGGTTCGATTCCAGTCAAGGGCACGTACCTTGGTTGCAGGCTTGATCCCTGGCCCCTGTCGGAGCACATGTCGGAGGCAACCAGTTGATGTGTCTTTCTCATATTAATGTTTCTCTCTGTGTATGTCTCCCCCTCCTTTTTAATCTCTCAAAAAAAAAAATCAATGGAAAAAATATCCCCAGGTAAGGATTAACAAAAAATTAAAAATAAAGTGGGGACCCCTCCTAAGAGGTAACTGACTGAAGCAAATGTACCAGAAGGCATACATCCACTTGAGTGATGATCCCTTCAGCGTTGTCTCTTGCGGAGGCTTCACACGGGCGCCACTGATGTTCCCGTTGCTTAAAACGATATGGTAAACAGCCTCTAGAAGTTCCCAACAGAACCAGCTTTCAGCCCAGTGAGAAAATGGTTTTTGAGATTCTTTTTCATGTTCTCATTTTCGGATACCAAGTGGTGTCCCAAGCATGGCCATCCATCAGTGTTTTGTGTATTTTTGTGTGTGTTGTAATTCTGGATAACTTCCAGTTCTTTCCAGAAGTCATAGTCATCCCTGGAGGGCCCACGAGATCATAACCCACGTTGAGGAGATTCAGAGGAACATCTTCTGAAGGCAGATCTTGGTACTTGGCTGAGGGGGTAGCTGTGCGCACCTCATTGTATCAGCGAGCCAGGTCAGGGGCCAGTCTGTTCTTCAGCTGGGAGCTGTCCCTGCCCCTGGGGAGCCCTGGTGAAGACACACTCTTTATTTGTGGAGACAACCATGGTCCCCTCCCTGCAGGAAGATTTAGTGTGGACCTCAGTCATACTTCCTAACAAGCCAGCTTTCTCTGGGTGTGGCTTAGCGGTGGTCTCTGTAGGCATGAAGAATGGAGTTGTCTTCATGTGACACCCCCTTCCTGCCCCGTCCCTCACTGATGTTCAGTGTTGGGCCCGCAACCACTTCTCCTCCAGCTGAAATATGTTCACAGCTGGCTCCCTAGGTGGTGGTTGTACCCTCTGTCCTCACTCACCCGTCACTGCAGGGCAGTCATCTTTTTTCCTATACGATTGGCCTGGCAGCTCCTCGACCAGCCAGCATTTCAGAAGCCAGTGTGGGGAGGAGAAGGTGTTGGCATGCAAGAAGACGATTAAAGTTAGCGCTCCAGAGGTAAGGTGCAGAAATGGCATAGTGGCCACCTGTCCTGGATTTTCTGGGCAGTCACAAATCCAGATCGTCCTTTCTCTGTCCCACCGTGGAGGAGTGGCGTAGCTAATGGATGGAAGCTGGTACAGTCACTTGAAATGATGTGGATGAGTTAAAGGAATGGAGAAAATGTTTATAATAAGTTTTCTTAATCAAGATGCAAAATCACAGTGTGATCACAGTTATATAAAAACAAAAAGCCACCCCCCCAAACAAACAAACAACAAAACAGGTATATAGAAACGAATGAAAGTAAATATAACAAGTATTAGAAAAATGATTTTCCTTTGGGTAGTGGGACTGTGGTGATTTTTTTCTTTCAGCTTTTCTTAATATTTCTCAAATATTCTCTATAAGTCTTGAATAAGTTTTAAGTGGGAGCAAATTAAACTTGATAAATTCTCAACCAAACCTTTTTCATTGTTACACAGTAAGTGCTGAATTTCAGCTTAGAGATACAGGTGGCATAACAGAGGTGACCTGAGATTTCTTCTTGACTCACACCTTAGAAATCTGAAAAGTCAGGCAAGACCAGGTTCCAGGAAGGCGTTAGGGACATAGTTCTTTCTGGAGGCAGGGCCTAGACAAGGCAGCCTCTCAGGGCCCCTGCCCACCAACAGTCGGCGAGGATCCCTGTCTGCACGCAGCCTCTGCCCAACAGCGAGACGCAGCCTCTGCCAACAGCGAGTGGGGCTGAGTGTGGGGACATTCTCTGAGTGGGAGCAGTGACAAAAGTCTGGCTGGGATGGAGGCGGGGGTGGGATGGGTGGGGAATCTGGAAGTGAGTGTCTGAGCCTATAAGGAGCCAGTGAGGGAGCCTTCTGCCTGAGGGACTTGCACCTCCAGCTGCCAAGCATCCGGCAGGACCCAGCCCCTTGGAAAGCTGGTGCCCGCGGCTGTGGTCCTTCTGTGAAGAACCTCCCTGATGGTGCAGGGTCCCGGGGTCTGGCTTGGAGCGTGGGAAGGACGGCTTATTCTTCAAGCAGCAATGTTTTTTCAAGGAAGCAGCCTATTTTATCTCTAAGGTAGAGGCTAGGATTTTCCCTCGTAGCACCTCTGTGAAGGTGAGGCCGGAGAAAGGCCATCAGAGCGCTCCATCTTCAGCTGTGTCCTGCCTGGGATCTTCCATCTCCATCTCTGAGGGGTCCTGGCCCAGCCTCCAGATCCGATTTTCTCCACTCCTCAGGCAAAGAGCCTCAGTTTCCTGCAGCCGCCTCGACCCTGTTGCCTGGCAGAGCCGTGGACAAAACCCAGCCTCCTCTGGGATTGCGCTTTGCGGAAGGCTCACTGGTCCCATAGTTAGCAGCATCTGGGAACCAGCCCGGAGCCGTTCAAGGATAGCATTGAATTTGTGTGGAGGCATTTGCCGCCTCGCTGCTTTGAAAAACTGGCCAATGCTGGGGCTCTGTGGAGGCAGGTGAGAAGGATTCTGCAAGGCGTCTCTTTTTTTAAAAAAAAATTTTTTCCCCTTTATTGAATAAGATATTACCAATCTGTCCTTATCCCCCCAATGTCCCCTCATCCCCCCAATCCTGCCCTCACCCTCACCCCCTGTTGTACACATCCATCACTTATGCTTATATGCATGCATACAAGTCCTTTGGTGTTGTCCCCAAAGTGCTGGTCCTCCAGGGCAATGGGAAGAATGATGTCGCCGGATGCTGATTGGGACGTACCTGGGGTCCTCATGGGGACCCAGGCATGCTTCATTCTTCCTGCTCTCCAGGCATGGCTCAAGGGGTTAATATCTCCAATGGCTCTATTTTGGGGCAACTGGAGTGTTCCCAGAATAGGACTCTTTGTTGAGTAGTCTATTTTGGGAGGCAGGCCCTACTGGCGTTTATGTAAGTGAGTCTCTGTGTGTATCTGGGGGTGTGATGTGTTCACAAGTGATTTCTTGTTACTAATTATAAGCAGCTTCTTTTGTGAGCCAGGGAGATGGAGAGAGTGTGTGTAAGGGGTATGGACTGCTCTTGTTGTGAAGAGTGGTGTGTGACCGTGTGATGGGGCAGTTGCCATAGACACGCGAGTAGGAGAGTAAATGTGGGGACCTTAGGACAGCAGGCAGGGATGACTGCCTTGGCCCCTTTGTGGGGTGTCATGCTGTGGAGATGTGCCCCGCTGTCATCCTCTTGATTCCATGAAGCACATGGGTAGGCTGGACATCCTGGCCCTCAGGCTGAAGTCTGGAGTCAAGTGGTCCCCAAAAGGTCGGTCCTGGGTTGCCTAAGGCCCATCAACCAGTTCTAAGCAGGAATGAATGTCAGATTCCACTTCCTACCGCAGTCTGGCACTTAATCACTGGACTCTCCTATCTCCCCCACAGGCCAAATCCACATATGTCGAAGCAAGAGAGAAACCAAAGACCGTCCAGCATGGTCAGCGAAACGTCCACCACTGGGACCACGTCCACCGTGGAGGCCAAACCCGGCCCCAAGGTGAGCTCCTGGCTGCTCATGCCTTCTGTCCCTTCTTTTATAGTTGCCAAGCCCCTTTGTAATCAGAAGCCCATTTGACCTTGACCCTAGTTTTGTGAAGGACACACATGAGAAGTATTCTCCCGCACTAATAGATGGGGAAATCGAGGCCAGTTGGGGGTGTGTCCCTTGTCCAGGAAAACAGGTGATTGCTGACAGAACCAGGACGGGCATCCTGTCCCTTGGATGCATCTTCACTTTCCAGGCGTATCTTGTGTTAGAGACGGCCTGGAGCACTTTGTGACAGATGGCCCCGAGGAAGGGTGCCCTTGAATAAGGCCCAGAGGTTTCTTGTGCTCGAGCTGTGGGCGCAGGGAAAGGAGCCAGCCTTGCAGGGGAGAAGTGCTGAGACCGCCCCCAGCTAGCAGGGATACATACCTGGTGATTGGCAAAGTCTGTGACCAAAAAGTAGCTTTGTTCCAGAAAGCTGTAGGACATATTGGGGCCAACAGCTGCTGGTGGAAGTTGATTGAAATACCCCTTTAAATTTTTTCCTCTGTGACCCAGATGGGAAGCTTGCCAGGTCTGGGGCTCGCCTATTAATTAGAAGGCGGTGGCCATGTGCACGCCTGGTCCATGTCTCCTCACTGTTCTTCTGATCAAAGGGCGCTGGCGCGGAGAGTGAGGCCGAGGGAGCCTGCAGCTCTCCCATCGCACATGTGCGTTTTTGGTGCCTCCCTAAATCCTCGCAGCTGCTAGAGTTCAGGTCTGCTTTTCCCTAGATCATCAAGTCCAGCAATAAAGTCCACAGTTTTGGGAAGAGGGACCAAGCCATTCGGAGGAACCCCAATGTTCCGGTGGTGGTGAGGGGCTGGCTGCACAAGCAGGTGAGGAGGCTGCGGAGGGAGGGTGGGGAGGATAGGATTGCTCTTGCTGATTTCTTTCCTTTCCCTGGCCCCTGGGAGCTGGGGACAGGCTCATAATAAGTGTTCTATTTCTAAGTTGATCTGAAGCAGGTAGTTTTCGCCCACTGACGGCAATGAGCAATTTGCTGTTTGTTTTTATGAGTAGACTCGCCACTCAATGGCTACAGCTTCCCTCCCCAAACCCACTTGCCCACTTTGGCCCTTGATGCTCTTTGCTGTGCTGGGACCCAGGCGCTGGTGTGGGTGGGCCAACACGAATCCAACCTTCCCACCAGCACTTGCCTTCCTGATGTTAGAGTCTTTGTTATCATCGGGCCGAAAAATTCCCTGTTTTTCCTCTTTCCCAGTCTAGCCCCCTAGCACCTCAAGTTCCAAATCAGCGAACCTCAGCTCATTGTTTCCTCGCCCTCCCCCCGCCCCCCCGCCCCCCATCTGCTTTTCTGGATCTCAGGTTAGAAACCTCAGCACCGCCACCAGCTCCGCCTTCTCCCACATCCATCCCGTCATGAAGCCCTCCCAGTCTGCTCCATCTCCCCAAGGCCATCCTTCATCTCTGTCCTCCCCATCACTTGCTCTGCCTCTGGTCCTCTGGCCATGGAGAGTCTGTGAGCACCCAGGGCCAGAGACCATGTCCCTCTTGTCTCCTTCCTTCTCTTCTTGCTATCCATCCACTCACTCATCCTGCCATATTCTAAATGCTCTCACAGCAGATAAAAGAAGATGGATAACATGTGGTCCCTGCCCTTGAGGAACTGAAGGTCTGCAGGAGGGAGCGGGGAGGGAGAGACACAAATAGACACATGTCTCACATGTCATACCCTCACTCAGCACATTCTGTCATATATCATGTTACCTGAAAAAACAGAAATCCAACTCCAAAAGCAATGATGTAAATTTTTACTAAAGGATTTATGGGAAGACAGGAGGGCATTACATTGCACACCACACAGAAGAAATCCATAAAAGTCCCCAAGAAATCTGTCTCCCCAGTTCTGATCCCCATGGCAACTCCCACAGCTCTCCAGCCTCTTATGTCACCACTCCTTTGGCACCACCTCTCTCTTAAGGATACCCCTCCCCTCACAGCTCTGTTCTCACTCTTCTTTCATATTTCCACTCATCTCTTTTCTACCCTGAGTAATTTAACCCTCTGACTTTTTCCATTTGCATCTCTGTGCCCATTAAATAAAAGAATGCTCCTTTGAAATGTGGAGGGAGAAGGAAGGAATTATAAATAATTCTCCCCAAGCTCCACCCCTAGCCCCTTGGGTGTGCTGTGACTGTAACAGAGGTGTGTGTAGCGTGTTGTGGACACAGCAGAGAGAATGTAGCTGTGCTTGGGGGAATCCTGAAAGGCTTCCCAGAGGAAGTGATGTTTGAACCAGGTGTGAAAGGGTGGAGAGGAGTTTTCCAAACAAAGCAACCATCATATGCTTAGAAATTATCTGGTCAATGCAAAAAATAAAACCAAGAAATGTATGAACTCAGCAAATTAAATTTGTTTTTAGCACTTTAGTAAGTAGAGAATGAACAGACTTCATGTTGTTAGGTTTAGAAACTGTCCAGTTTAAAAAATATGTATATTTTTATTGATTTCAGAGAGGAAGGGATGGGAGAGAGAGAGAGAAACATCACTGATGAGAGAGAAAATCATCCATTGGCTGCCTCCTGTATGCCCCACACTGGGGATTGAACCTGCAACCCAGGCATGTGCCCTGACTGGGAATCGAACCATGAACTCTTGGTTCATAGGTTGACACTCAACTAGTGGGCCACGCCAGCTGGGCTTTTTAAAAAAAATTTAAACCTGTCAAAAACTCTTGCAGAAGGAACACAATTTTAACAGCTAAAAAGGCTCTGGAATTTTCCTAGGTTTGGGAATAAACTGGTCCTAAAACACTACTTTCCTACTGTGATTATGTCTTCTTAAAAATTTTCACATTCACCTAAAAATATTTCATAAATATAATGATTTACATTTTAGAAGAGTAAAGACAGATTCTTATTAATGAAACAATTTGATAGTAAGAAAATCCAAGTTGCTTTACATTGAATGGAAGGAAAGTACAGTCTCTTACGGTAGAAACAAAATCAGTCTCTCTGGTGGAGAACTGAACTTAATCAAATGAGAACTTGCTTCATTGATTAATTAGCTAACTTAACCTCTTGGTTTCATAATGTGTAAATCAGTTTTCTAATCAGCTTAAGTGAAAGCATTTTACGCCATAGCATTTAATTAAACAAAACTTTTTCTTAAAAGCTGATTTCTTTCTTAAATGAAGAACTGTATTTTTGAATCCATATGTTTCTTTCTAAAAGAAGGATGCTTATAATATAGGAATCTGTTTCCAGGGAAGAAAAAAAAAACTTCCTAGGGCTCAACCATCATTGAATCTAAAATTTAATTTCCTAGTGAAAGAATGTCTGTAAAATAAAAATGTATTAATTTCTTGAAAGAGTGAATATGGGCAAGTCAAGATTGGGGAGGGGGAACAGTGTGCTCAGACACCGTCCTGATTCTTTTTCTTTGCTTTGCAGGACAGTTCTGGGATGAGGCTGTGGAAAAGGAGGTGGTTTGTGCTTGCTGATTATTGCTTGTTTTACTATAAAGGTGAGCTGAGGCTCGAGCCACCATGGGCTCTGTGCTGGAGGGGGTGGTGAGGTGATATATATATCAGATTCAGTGACTGGGCTAATTAGTAACCTATTGATCTGCTGAGGTGTTCACTTTTACATATATGGATGGTTGGTGACATCATTTTTTGCAAGTCCCAGCTCTGGAAGTTCCATTTATTGCGTTAAAATAAATAGGATCTAGTGTGCTACTACTTAGGGTCTCAGGATCTGCAGTTGTGTCAGCTTCTGCCCCACTCAGGACACAAACACACCTTTGACGTAATCTGGAGAGGCGGGAAGTATAGGTAGACATTGTATTTTGTAACCTGTTATCTGGATTTATCCACTGGGATATTGGATGGACAACTGGTGGATTGAGTTGGCCGTATGAAGATTTATGGAGCCCCAGTACATAGAGGTAGGCTGTGCAGCAGTGAGCAGGAAGGTATGCCTCAAAGTGTGGAGGAAGAGATAGCCTATTTTTAAGACAAGATTGGGAGTGATAGGTGCTTTAGAAGGTATCCAAAGTGCTTGGGCAGTTTAGGGGGAGTAAGGAGTTAATTGCATGTGGGAGCATTTGGGGAGGCTTCTGAGAAGAGAGAGGACCTGAGTTGGGCTTTGAAGGATAGGTACTGCTTTGCTTGTGTGGGGGGGTAGGGAGAAGGCGGGGAATGGACATTACTGGCAGAGGAAATAACTCTAGTAAAAGTTCTAGAAGCAGAAGAAAGTGGAGTGACAGACCTGTGAGGCCAGAGTGAGTCTCAAATGGAGGCTGTACCAGGAGATGAGGCTCAGGAGGTGGGTAAGGGCTGTGACACCAGGTAGAGGAAGTTGGCTTCATTCTGTGTCCAATGGGCAGTATGTGTCCAAAGTGCCTTTCAGTAGGAGAGAGATAGGAACACTGTCGTCAGGAAGTGGCCTGTGGTGTGAAGATGATTAGGAGGAGGAGGAGGAGGATGGAGGTAGGAGGTAGGATGCTTCACACCCACCTGTGAGGTTTGCTCCATCCAGAACGCCCTTCCTCATCCTTGAAGACACTTTACATATTACCTTCTGAAGTCTCGACATCCTCACACTGGTGCCACCCCTGCCTCTGTTCCCGCAGCACTTGGCATATGTTGTATTTCAGGAGTTAGCAGTTGAGTGTGTTTACATGTGTGTTTCAGCCCCGAGGGAGAGGGCCCAGTCTGATTCACCTGTAGTTCTAGCATTAGAACAGAGGTCCCAGGGGAACAGCTGCACGGACTGTCGGTGAATGCCGTCATCCTGGGGAGAGATAAGGAGCCCTGAGCTAGGGCAGTGGGTGGACCAGCCCAAGGGAGGTGCCGCAGAAGGCTATTCTGATGTGTTTTTCCATCCAAAGACAGCCGAGAAGAAGTGGTCCTTGGGAGCATTCCTCTGCCCAGCTACGTCACATCGCCGGTGGGCCCTGAGGACCGCATAAGTCGCAAGTATTCCTTCAAGGTACGGCCCCCTCTCCTCTAGGCTCCAACGCCCTCCTAGGAAGCTGTGTTCCCACATAAGGCTTTATTAAAAGCAGTTCTTTTTCTGGGGAACGGGAAGAAGTTAAGCTAGAGAGTTGCACTCATGTTAGCAGTTACAAATTCTTTACACACGAGTAATATCACATGACAAGTGCTTTCATTGGTATCGGAGCTGCTGAGTCCCCCAGCCTTGCTCAAATATGTAGACCCCTCTCTTCCTCTCTCTGTTAGTCCTGTGATTGCAGATTGGACACAGCCCTTCTCTTGCTTTCTTATCACTGTGAACAGCCAGTCTAACCAGCATTCAGCCATTTAGTGTGAAGGATGGTCCCTCGTGATGGATTTATATCAGTTATATTATGAACATTTACAGTGAGGGTTAGGGGGCCTGCCTGTTGAAGAGATTTTCAGGTTTGGCCATTTTGTTTATATTGTCAAAAAGCAAGTAGAATCAAATTTGGTTTACTTTCTGGATCATTGGCGTTTCCTAGGGAAATCCGTTTAGCCGTAAAACCCCTTTTCTATTTCCTTCATCACCATAACTGATGGCCATCCTTTGACAGCCTCTGGCATCTTCACAGCCAGATGGGGAGACTCCAGGAAGGTGTGGTTAGGCCCAAACTTGGGGAACCTTGAGGCCCTCTCTTTCAGTGGCCTCCACAATTCCGCCACTGCTGATATTTCTTGGATTCCTGGGGATGGTGAGGGTGGATGGGTTGAAGGTCAACATTATTGGCAGTTGGAGTGGAAGTCTCACTGAAGCAAGTGGCTGCTGGTGCCAGTAGCCACGGGGAACACCTCTCACGCTGCTCAGGATACGAGGCAGTGACATGCATTCAAGCTGGGGTCTGGGCTCCTGCTTACACTACTTATATAGCTTGGCTATTTCCATGTTGGGGGTACAGGAAGAGTACTAGGCAGTAGCTACTAAAGAGGAGGTTGAACAAAAGTCAAGCCCTCACCGGTTTGGCTCAGTGGATAGAGCGTCGGCCTGCGGACTGATGGGTCCCAGGTTCGATTCCAGTGAAGGCATGTACCTTGGTTGCGGCACATTCCCAGTTGGGGGTGTGCGGGAGGCAGCTGATCGATGTTTCTCTCTCATCGATGTTTCTAACTCTCTATCCCTCCCCCTTTCTCTCTGTAAAAAAAAAAAAAAAAAAAAAAAAAAAAAAAGTCAAGTTTTCCAGCCACAGATAGTTAAAGGACCATGGAAAGCACACGAAAAGACACCTTCTGTTCTCTGGGAGGGTTAAAGGGAAGTGTTGGTATGCAGTGTCCAAAGGCGTCATTGGCAAGTGATCGTCTGCATCGGCATTTTGATCTGGAGTCCTCTGTGGTGGTTGGAAAGTCAGGTCTCATTTTCCTCCACCTCCTTCCCGAGCTTTGTCCATCGACAGGTGTGAGCTGTCTGTCTCTCCCCTGACTGTCACTCTCCTCATGACTCCAGAATTGTGATGGTTTGATTCTTGGATGCTCTCCCACTTCATGTTGCATTATGTGGTATTGCCTTATGTCTGCACGACCTTTGATGATTTGAGAAGTGCTCTTATCCATGTTAGCTCATGGAGTGCTTGTGGGGAGCTGGTGAGGTCAGTATTATTAGCTTCATTTTATAGGTCAGGGACATGAGGATTGGAGCACGGAAGACACTTGCCCAAAATCACAGGGCTGGGAGATGATGGAGACAGACCTTGAACCTGAACTATATCCTCTTTCAATTGAAGGAAGACAATTTCTTCCTCTTCCTCTTATTTTGGTTACCTCCTCCTGCAGGCACATGGTCAGGGGTGCGAGGTGATTAGACTTAATGTTCATTGTTATCATTTTAGCATACTCTTCTCTTTAATCGTTCAAAAGTCTCTCCTGCTTATTGTGGGCTCTGAAACCAGTTTGTTCAATGGGTTTCAGGCTGGTCTTTTGCTTAGAACACCTTCCTTTCTAGGGTCAAGTGTTGCTTTTGGGCAAGCAGTCTGGGTAATGATGTTGTATGTGATTTTTGGGGGGATAGCATTTGGAATAGTCTCAAAGTAACTGATCATATCTATTTATATTCCATCTTAACACTTTCTGGGGAGTTGTGAAAATAGATTCTAGGAAAACATCTTTTATGTGTCATAGATTCTTTTCTTTAAAATTTTTTTCTTAGACTCTACTAAGAAAAATCTTTTTGTCTGGGAGACAGAAGACATGCATGTGCTGGGGGAGGGGCTCTTAGGGGAGACCCTTAGGGTCTGAGAGCAGAGAAAAGCTACTGCCGGCAGATCTGGTGGTATTCAGCTGATTCTCCAGAAAGGACTGCTTTCCTGAGTATGAAAGGGTACCCTTTCCCTTTGGGTTACAGCATCTCTTTCCCCTTTTAGGGGTCAGAGGGGGTGTCCCCTGGGCAAGGCAGGCTCCATGTTCTTGGGCATACTGAGGAATGGACAGTATTTGGTGTCAAGGGCCTTATGCCTGTTTCTAATGTCAGTTCTTCTCTATTTCCAGAGCTGGAATTCTCTGAGTGTTGCTAGGGCACCTTGCTTGAGATCATTCAGCCTTAGCTGTAGTGTTGGACAGGCACAGCCTGAAAGGTTTTATGGTCTTCTCCTGGTCTTTCCCCCACTACTGTGCCTGCAGCCTGTCAATCCCTACTCGTGACCTGGGATGCTGGGTGCTAGATGGACCCTGAATACAGCCAGATCTGCAGGGTGAGCCAAGCCAGGCTCTCTGAGACATCGCCTGCTCTGCTGGCTCAGCTGGGGCGCCTCCCCAAAGATCTGTTGGATGCACGGCCACCCTCGGCCTGTTGGTCACCTCTGAGCAAGCTTGGCCCTTCGGGTCCAGGATCCGCGAGCAGAAAACATCCCCACTCAGCCAAAGGTCCAAGGATCTTCAGTGGGAAAATGCTCTAACCCTCTCCTTTGAGCCATTCTCCCTCTCTCAAGACCAAGGGGAACTGACCTGAGTCTGCAGACCCCATAGTGTCAGTGGAGAAATCATATCTTCTCTTTTTTAACCTATAGCGTTTCCTTTGGTTAAGAAACTAGGCCTTAATAGGTCTCAGCTGCACCTGTGCCTTGGTCACCACTAGAAATCAGAAAGATGCTCACGTCACATTATAATTGATGTAAATATCTTGAGATATAATTTATGAGCATCCCCACTTTGAAATTACAGTAATTATTCCTACATTTGCTTTATGGTGTATTATTAAAGAAGCACCTGTATCACTACCTCACAATAGTTAAAAATATTTGATAACATAATATATTTCCTTTATTTTAATTGTATACTTAAAAACATGCTGAGAAGAGTTCACAGGATTCATCAAACTGTCAAAGATTTCATGTGCCTCCCCCCGGTCACCCCAAAATTAAGACCCCCCCTGAATTCTGGCTGAACGCCAGCCAAGAGATGAGGTGTTTCACCTATTTATATTCAACAATCTTGTGTTCTGTCCGTGGTTTCACTTGGCAGGATGTAGATCCTGGGGATACAACAGTGAGAAGGACAAAGTCCTCGCCTTAGAGCCACACTCAAGGGGCCAAAGAGCCGCATGTGGCTCGCAAGCCGCAGTTTGCCGAGCCGCAGTTTGCCCACCCCTGCTCTAGACTCTGCATAAACCTGGGGGTTATTAGGGAATAAGAAGAGAAAATGAAAGCTGCCCTTTTCCTCTCCCGCTTCAATTTTATTTTGCATCTTTTTCAAATCCATCTCTTCCTCTCCACTGTCGCGGTCACTGGTCTGTCTCAGCAGCCATCGCCCCTCCCCTAGGTAACCTACTCACTGCCTGTTGCATAGCGAGTGCTCCGTAGTGTTGGCTTTAGCCCCCAGTCCCCTCTGCAGTTTCCAGTCCATCCTCCGCACTGCTCCGAAGTTGCACATCTGTTCAGGTGGTGCTCCCACCATCAGCCCCTCAGTGGCTCCCCACTGCCTACAGCATAAAGCCCAGTGTTGGTTTACAAAGCCCCAGCTTATCTCTTCAGCCCCTTTTTTAGCCGCTCCCATCTTACACGTTCCCTCCAGCCACAGGCAATGGCCTGAAGGTCCAGGACATTTCTTGCCCCTTGTTTGGAAACTGTCCCAGGTGCTTCTCAGAGGCCATTCCTGGTGCCTCTTCACAGGCTCTTTGCAAGGCTTCCTAGCACATAGTAGGTACACAAGGATTTTCAGTCAGATGTTAGCTCTGTCCAACTTTGTAGTGCCTCTTGGGAGAGACGGAACAGCGGCTCTTTGATTGGCAACAGCACATTTCATGCCCAAGCTGCGAAGCGCAGTGAATAACTGCACCCAGCTGCCTGCTGTGGCGGCTGAGTTTTGACTCAATTCCAGTAATTGTGTGCTTCAGAAGAACCAAAACAGGGATTCCCGAGAGTCGGCTTCCAGGGAACGAGGGTTTATTTAAAGCCTTTCTCACGTAAGCCTTGGGTGTGTGTCTCTCCCTACGCGCATGAGTAAGATAAGTCAGACACAGGTGACACCTGCACGGCTTTCCCGTGGGGGAGTAGGCACAGTGGCCACTGGGCCTGACTGCACTGAGAGGGGGAATCCAGCTGTGGCGTTTTCCAGGTGTGGAGACAAGTGGGTGGGGCCTGGGCTTTCAGTCCGGAAGAGGGGAGAACGTGGTTCAGTGTCTCCTTGGTTTTGCTCCTGGAAGTGAAATGTGCGCTAACCTCTCTGTCCCGGGTTTCCCTCTCCTTCCTACAGGCTGTGCACTTGGGGATGCGAGCGCTCATCTATAACACCTCCACCGGGGGCTCCCAGGCCGAGCAGTCGGGCATGAGGACCTACTACTTCAGTGCCGACACCCTGGAGGACATGAACGCCTGGGTCAGGGCCATGAACCAGGCTGCGCAGGTGCTGTCTCGGTCGTCACTGAAGAGGTCAGTCCCAGCGGAGGGTCCCTGCCAGAGTGCTTCCTCCTTAGGATGGGGACCCAAATAAGAACTCCCGAGTGCCCCAAGACTCACCATGAATCCACTGGTATTAAGTATTGCCCTCTCTTTGAATTCTGGGAGAAGAATGCAACACGTGTTGCCTGTCACAGCTGGGAGGCCCCCTGGGAGTGGGCTAGCCCACTCACATTAAACAGAGGCCTGGGAGAGTGACATGACGGCCCGGAGTACACAGCCTTGGACCTTGGCCTGTTTCCTTTTTTCTTCTCCTCTGTGTGGTAGAAGGGACAATCTTGGGACACCAGTTGGGGAGGAGAGAGAGGGCAAAAGAGATCTTGCAAACTGTGCCACAGACTGCCCACCATGCTATCTTCCAGCTGCCCCTTCCCTCCAGTGGGCAAAGCGAGGGGACAATCAGGGATCTTGGAAATTCCTGAACCTGTTGGCTGTGGTTGGCTCCGGAGAGAGTTGGGTGGCCCTGGAAAACTCAGGGTGTGCCCTTAGGCAGTCCTCATGTGATACGGGCGCCCTTCTTAACCATCTGGACACCTTGCTCTGCTTAGAGGCCTCTTGGACAATGGTCTTCGTTTGGTGAGGCCTCAAAACAAAAGGGACCTCCAGCAGCCTAAAGGTGGGATTGTTCGGTGACTGCAAATGGATTTCACATGGTGTGTTTTAGCTTGTCAACCTTTTCCAGTTCACAGGTATGAGATTAGGGGTGTTAGTGGTGTTTCCTAGCTTCATGCTCTCTTCAGAGGTTCTCAACCTGTGGGTCGCGACCCCTTTGGCGGTCAAACGACCCTCACAGGGGTCGCCTAAGACCATCCTACATATCAGATATTTACATTACGATTCATAAGAGTAGCAACATTACAGTTATGAAGTAGCAACAAAAATAATTTTATGGTTGGGTCACAACATGAGGAACTGTATTTAAAGGGCCAGAAGGTTGAGAACCACTGCTTTAGGTGAACAGACCTTTGGTATAGATGGTGACCTCTTTCAAGAGGCCAGGTTGGGGTCAGGCCCTACCCTTGGAGCTTCTGCAACACCTCAGTCAAGCGTTTGTCATGCTGTTTTTTTATTTTTCCCTTCGACTTCTCAGTATCCTAGGCTACAGGCAGAGATCATCTTGGTGTCTTCTGCATGATGATACAAATGTCTGTTGAATGAGTGAGAGGCTGAGAGAATGAATGAATATGTTGAACAGGACAGGACCAAAGACTGTCCTGGAAGTTTCCACATGGATCCTGAATCAGTAACTCTCAACTACGGTCAAGTTTGACTGTACCTCTAGCATTGTCATTGAGCCTGAGCTATTCTACTGTGTCCAGGATTAGTCTGTGGGCACTCTATTCATAGAGCCATTGGCAATTCCTTTGTCATCCCAGGAGAAGGGATGACACATTTTGGGCTTGACACATCTTCCAGTGCACTTGCTGGTCCCCAATACTCACTGTGTCCTACTTTTTTGTATATATATATATTTCTGTTTGTTAAATATATATATTTAACTATACAGTAAATGAAGATCTCTTATTTTAAAAAATGCAAAAAGGTAAAGACAAAGACATTCTTAATCACCTTCCCAAGGTCATCTCTGTTACCAGGTTAACGGGTATCCTATTAAACTATTTTTTATTCTTTTATAGACATATGCACACTATAGATATATATAGGTTCCTTTTGTGCTTTTTTAAAATATATTTTTATTGGTTTCAGAGAGGAAGGAAAAGAGAGAGAGAGAGAGAGCGAGAGAGAGAGAGAGAGGAATATCAATGATGAGAGAGAATCATTGATCAGCTGTCTCCCGCACACCCCACACTGGGGATTGAGCCCGCAACCTGAGCATGTGCCATGACCAGAAATCGAACCCTAATCTCCTGGCTCATAGACCACGCTCAACCACTGAGCCATGCCAGCCAGGCTCTTTTGTGCTTTTTTAAAGTATGAATGATCACATCTTAATCATTTTATATCAGTGTATATTGATCGACTTTATGTTTTGACTGTTGTATGATATTTCATAGTACCATACTGTATTTAAGCACGTGTTAAACTTGGGATAGTTTTTCTCTCATCTTTTACTGTAATAAATAGTCTTTTAATGGAAAACTTTCTACAAGCCTCTGCTTGTGTGAGTCTTTCAGATTCTTGGGTCAAAATACAGTGTATTTTAATTTTTAATCAGTATCACTAAAATGCCACTTAAAGAAAGCTGTATGTTTCACTAATGAGTGCTCATTGCCCTGAATCTTTGCCAATATTTGATATTACCAATTTTTAAAATTTTTGCTGAGCTGCTGCATAGGTAAATAGTATTTGATTATTTAATGTGTGTTTCCATGATTTGAGGTATCTTTTCTATTTATTGGCCACTTGCATTTCCTCTTCAGTGAATTGCCGGTGCCTGTGCTCTGCCCATTTTTCTACTGCATTTGCTTTTGTCGTAGTGCTTCCTTTCCTACCTGCTCGAAACCTGCCTCGCTGAGAATGCGGCTTACCTCCCTGCAGGGGTTGGGGGTAGGCTCTCCAGTCTTGTGGTTAATGGGATCTGTTTCCCCCTCTTTTAGAAATTGGGATGCTGTCTGCTAGTCTCCAATATCCCAGCATTTGCCTGTTCTCTTTGATTCCCCAGAGGTCACCTGAGAGGTTTATTGAGCCCATCTCCGCCTTCCCTTAGGGCCCTGGGATGCTGATGGCTGGGCCTGGAGCTCAGCCCCTGGAGGCTGGGCCTCTCCCATCTTCCTCCCCATCTTGGGCTCTCCATCTTTCTTAACCAAGGTGGTTCTCCTTTTCATGGTGTAGATCCTTTTTCTTAATGAAAACAAGGAACTAAATCTAGAAGTTGAAGAATCCAGCTTAATTTAAGTTGTGTCATCTTCCCCAAGCAGAGATACCTATGTCTCATATTTTTTTAAGCCCACCCCTCCTTTATTTTAATTCTTCAAAAAATAGAAAGTTTGTTTTGTTTTGCTTTAAATGAACAAGCATTAGCTCTTTCTAGATTTTACCCTTTTTGCCATCATTCACATGGCCCATTCCACTGTGGATCTGTGCTTGATTTTGTCCCCACCTTCATTTCTCTTGCATGTCCTTTTAGAACATGAACTCTGAGAGCACTCTGTGTTGTTACGCTGGTTTCTTTAGACCAGCAGTGGAGACTGGGTGCATTCTTGTGTCCTAGCTTTGGTCAATTCATCGTGGCTGACTGGGGCACTGGGTCAGAGATAACTGGAGAATGAAATTGGGCTTAACAAGAAAAGGCGCTGTGATTGGTAAATGTCTGCCTTGAGCCATTCAGGATTAATTTGCTAGCTGAGATTTGGATATACAAGGTAGGACAAAAGTAGGCCTACAGTTGTGAGTATGTGAAACACAGAGTTTACTCTTGTATTATTATTTATTAATTGTATTATTGGTAATTATAAACCTACTTTTGCCCCAACCTGTATTTTACTTTTCCTTACCTGAAAATTTATAATTAACGACCAGATTTTGGTTTGGGCGGGCTCCATTTGTTTTCTCTCAGGCTGCTTTTCCTTTTAGGGTCTCAGGCCCTGAATTTTGTATTGTGCCTAGGTTTCCTCTGAACTTTTAGGATTTGTTCATATTATGCTCTTAATAAACTCTTAAAATCCCATAATCATGTTTTTCTTTTAAAAAACGAACAGTTTGCCTGGCTGGCATGGCTCAGTGGTTGAGCATCGACCTATGGACCAGGAGGTCACGGTTCGATTCCCTGTCAGGGCACATGCCTGGCTTGCGGGCTCGATCCCCAGTTGGGGCATGCAGGAGGCAGCTGATCAGTGATTCTCTCTCATCACTGATGTTTCTAGCTCTCTCCCTCTCCTTTCCTCTCTGAAATCAGTAAAAATAATATATTTTTTAAGGAAATCAAACAGTTTGTTCTACCTTCTGAGTCAGAATAAAGGCAGCAAATCATTTCCTCTTAATTTTATGAGAGATGAAATTGTCAGCGAAGCAAATCCAGACTTTAGTAAATGTTCTGTTTTGGTTTTTTTCCCCAGAATAAGATGTTCAGACATTTGGTTAGTTAGAATTATTTGTCAGGCTGAACTAAACCTTCCCTTTCCTCCAATTTCGTGATCTGCATGGGAAACTTGCGTCACTGTTAAGGGGGCGGCCCAGTAGTAGTGCTTTGTTCTCTCTTTTCCTTGACTCTCACCCAAATGCTTCCATGCTTAGTCATATGGGCAGATGCTTTCTGTATGAATGTGGTGTAGTAGGACTCCTGATTGCAAGGTTACAGAAGATGCAGACAGATTAACCGTGAGGGGGGAATGTATTGGTTCATGTCACTGGAAAGTTCAGAATAGATCTAGCTTTAGAAACAGCTGGGTTTAAGGCTCAGACAGTATCCTTATAAGTCAATCTCTGGGCTGGGCCCACTTCTGAATTCATTCTTGAACTCCATATGGTGGTCCCTGGCAGATCTAGGTGGCAGAATAGCTGCAGTAGCCCGACTTAATGTCATCCAGGTTCAGTCTAGCAGGAAAGAGCAGAGTTCGTGTCCAGAAGCTCTGAGATCCATTATGATTAAACAGGCTTAGATCACATTTACACACTAAACCATGCACCATGGCCAGGGAACACACATGCTGATTGGCACAGGCCTGGGATACATGCTCCACTGCTGAGAACCAGACCATGGGCCAAAGAGTGAGGCAGGGGTGGATGCCCAAGTATCATTCGGGCTGTGGGCAAAGGAAGGTAAAATGACGTGCGCCATGAGATAAAGGAGGCCCAAACAGCCAATGTCCAGGGCAGCTGGTTCACCCCTTATTTCCTACTATATTGACCTCTTTTACCTTAAGTATCTCCTCGCAGAGTGTAGTCTCTGAGGTCAGGTAAGCCTAGTTCAAATCCCAGCTCCACTACTTTCTAGCTGTGTCACTTGTACAATTTAGGTATGCTGTTTAAACCTCAGCTTTTCTTAGTTCTAGAATTGTTGCAAGTATTAAATAAATGAATGGATAAAGTGCCTACTGAGCATGATGCCTAAGACGTAGTAGATACCCCTTTCACATATGCTGGCTTCCATAGGGTTTGGTTTAACAACATCATTGGCTCTCTCTTCTTTACACCCTTCCAGTTTCATCGTTAATCCTCTGGATCACATGGATGATGAACTTCCTGTGAGCAAATTACACTCCCTTCCTCACCAGGATGTGCCCATCCCCTAGTAGTGTGAACTGTAGTTCAACAACCCAGGGTCCTGCAGCACTGTCCCTCAGCCTGCTCTTTATACCCTGCCCCCCAGCCTTTTCCTGCAACATTCCCAGGAGCCAAGCTGAGCACCCTCACTGCACCTCTTCCCTTTGTCCTCTTCTTTCCTACACAGTCTTCAGGGTCTCTTGATAGATATTCATTCAAGTATTCTTGAGACCTCCCTTCCTCACCCCCCCAAAGCTGTAAGGAGCATGCACCAAGCATTGCTGCCAGCTACCTCCTGTTCATAATTTTTCCCCTGTTCCCATGTTCTTCCACTTGTCAGACTTTGGACTCTAGTTTTAGATTCCCTGCACCTCCTTGAAATCTGGCTTCCCAACTTTCCCTGATGGACTGCTTTTTCTCTCCTATCATAGGATGCCTGCCCTCTCTAACAAGCTAAAGCACTAAGCAGGGAGGTCAGCTTGCCCTCACAACTCACATCTGACAAGTGACTCAGATAGGAGGGACTATCAGAAGGCAACTTATCTCTTTTCTCAGTTTCCAAACTTTTGTGGCCTCCAGTATAACTATAGTCCTGTCTTGGGACTGAAGGAACTTACAGTCTAGCTACCGTTGTAGTAAAATCCAACTTCCTTAACGGGGCTTTTGAGCAATGCCTGGGTCTGGTCCCTACAGACACTTTTGGCTCATATCTTGCCACTCCCCATTCTCTATGCCCCAACCACACTGAAGTTCTTGAGTTGGGTGCATTTGTTCATGCATTCATCCATTAAGTCTTTTATTTTATGAATATTTATTGAGAGCATATTTTGGGTCACAGTGTTAAAGATGCTGGGAAATACAACAGTGTTCAAGAGAGAGGCAAAGTCCCATGCATTCTTGGAGGTCAGGGAGACAGACCATAAACAGGCAGACAAATCAACAAGATGTTTTTTATCATGATCTGTGCACGAAGATGCAGTAAAATAGGATGATGGGGTTGGCTGAGGGTTTTGCACTTACCGAGTGCGCAGTCAGTGATGGCCGTTGCTGCCATCATCCCCATCCCAGTAGAGATAATTTATTGTAAGTCATCCAGTACTCACGTGACTGCCCTCAGCCTCTCTGGACTTGACAGTACTAACCTTGCAGGTATTAGAGATGGGCTATATCAAGTTTGTGGCACACAGTAGGACCCAGCATATAGTAAAAATAACCAAGCATTGCCCACAGATACTGAATGAGCCAGAACTGTGCCTGCCATGTAGGCCGATGGGAGGTGAGTGGGTGTGGCCTGTGCCAGGACTGCAGACTAGCTCAGGTTGAGCTGGGGCCGTTGAGCACCACTTGCTCAGGTAGAAGGAAGAGGGAAGGACTCTCCAGGCAGGAATGAGCAGAGTGAGGAGACCTGGCTGGCATAGAATACCTTTCCTTTCTTCTTCGTCTGGTTTGTCAGTCCTTGAATCTTCACAGGAGACTTTGCCAAGAACCATTCTGCCGAGGCAAGAGGCCCCTCAGCTGGGCAGGCTTGTGGTTCATTTATTCTTCGGCCTTTCTCTTCTCTAGGGGAGGGCAGCCTGGGGATTGCGGAGTGTGTGCTCAGAGCTGCCGGGCCCTCTATTGTTCATCTAGAGCAGAGCATGAAAGGTGGCCAGATACCTTTCCCCCTCCCAGGGGGACTGACCTATTTAACTCTGGGGAAAAGCAGAAACCGACTCCTGTCTTCCTTTCTCTCCAGCCATTTTCTCCCTCAAATGCTAGGAGCGAATTCAAGCGAGCGAACCTGTCTTAGGGCTCCCTAGAGACTCCGAGCCCCTTTCTCTTCACCCTTTTGTGCAAGTCTGTGGACTGTGTCCAGGGGTCCTGGCTTTGGAGCTCACTGTCCTCCTGAGGCTGAGGGTCAGTGCTCCGGACTCGCCGTCTGTCAACACAGGCTGAGCTGGGCTCCCAGGACAGGGCTTCTGCCACTGACCTGGCTCAGACCAGACTCTCCAAGAATATCAGTGGCCTGGCCCTGGTTCTCGCTGCTCGTCTGGTTGTTTAGGTGAATGAAGTGAATGGGCAGGGATCCTTCAGTGGGATTACAACAGAGGGGCTGTATCCAACAATAGGACCAAGGTCCAACCAAGTCGCTACATGTTGTCATTCCTCTGCCCACCCGCGTCTTCGAATGAGTTGTAATGTGTGTGTTTAGCATTAAGATAGAGGGGAATGCTATTCCTTATTTCCTGGTGAGATAAGAGTTTGGGATCAGAATAAAATGATAACCAGTGCACAATTGCTTAGTATGAGGTTACCTTCCAAGTTCTTGTGAAGAAAAGGGACGAGAGAGAAGTATCCTGGTCTGAGATGTGTTCTCTTCCCACTTGCAGTGGAAATAAGAATCTGCTCAAAGCAGACAGAGAGCAGTGCTGTGATCTCCTGAAAATGAGGGCACGTAACCCCTGCAAATAAAAGGCTTAACCCCTAATGCAGTTAGGGATTGCATTTGGTTGCTAGTCATAGAACCACCCGATTCAGGATGGTGCACTCAAATTGGGCGTTAGTTTTCTCACAGAACAGGAATCCAGGCCGGTACACCAGCTCCATGATGCCATCAGGGGCCCGGCTCTTGCTTTCTACCCAGGTTTCAGCAGGTGGCTGCCATTCACATTGTTGTCACCTTGCTCTCCAGCACAGCGGCTACATTCCAGGCAGGAGGAAGGGAAGGGTAGCTAAGCCAGCTAAGGTGCTTCTTTTAAAGACTTTAAGATGTCTGCGTACGTCTTATTGGCTGGATCTGTGTTAGTTACATGATCACCCTCAGTTCCAAGGGAGGTTGGGAAGTGTATTTTTTTTGCTGGGCACATTGCTGCTTTGAAAAATAAATGGGGTAAGGCAGGAGGGGAGAATAGATGTTGGGAGGCAACCCATTTGCATGTGAAGGCACACTGTGTGCCAGACATGTGCCGTGCTTATTCTGTGCATTGTCCCCTTTAATCCTCGCAACAACCCAGGAAGGCAGGGGCTGATGTCACCATTTTGCATAGGAGGAACCTGAAACCAGAAAGGTCAGGGACTTGCCCAGGGGCACCCATCCTATACTGGGGTGAAGCCAGCACTTGAGTCCAGGCCTGACTAGCTCGAAATCCTATGCCCTCTGGGTTTGTTGTGCTCGGGAAGTGGTATATATGGGTCCAAATGGTCACGAAATGTCAGAAGTTTCCCATGTTTTGAACAATATCTGACTCCAGGTGCTTACAGTGGTCGCAGTGGCCTGCACAGGAAAGGCTGTGTCATCTTAGCTACACATCTGTGCCCTACATGGCCAGCGTCTGAGTGACACAATATTGACAGCCAAGGGTGCTTCATTTTTCCCATCACTGTGCTCCATTGAGCATGGCAAATCTACTTTGTGACAGGTCTCCTGATTTGAGAAGTCATGTGTTAAATTGTTGGGAATATAAGGAGACAGGGAGAAAGCCAAAAAACATGTTTGCCTTCAAGCCTATAACTTAGTAAATTCAATTCTTAGTACACACTAAGAAGCAGACCCTGTGTTAGGGGGTGTATTTTTACTTTTTATTACATTTTAATTCTGTTTTAGCTCCCAGACTGGATTGGTTTTGCCCTGAGTCTGTGCTGAGTATTGGTAGCTGAGGTTATGTGGTCGTAGCAAGGCCACCTGGGTCTGGCCGCCAAGATGTAAATGCAGCAGCCATTTACATGTACGTTTTCATGTTGAAATGGAGAGATCTCTGGCATGGCTGTTGGAAGAGTGATGGGTCTCAAGGCCAGGACTTTTCACCATGGGGCACAAGTAGACTGGCTGCCCCATCCAAGGGTCTCTGGTAATTTTCCTGGTCCTTCTGGGATGGAGTGTGTTCCCTTCCCTGCCTCCCCAATCTAAATTCTGCACAGCTTGTGGAGCCGCTGCTGTGTCCCTGGTACCAGATAGTGGGAATGTTCCTTATGCTGCCATTGCTCTTGGGGCTGTGCTGGCGGCCAGTGGGCTCAGGAGCCTTTCTATCCAAGTTGGACCACCTCAGGCAGATGGCAATATGGAAAGGTGTGAGATTATCACTGTATCATTTACTCATTCAGAGCGCCTGTTCTGTCACAGTCTCTGCACACAAGTTCTGGGCATATGATGCTTGGCAAGATGGGCCTGTTGCCTGATGGAACTCGGTCTACTTGGGCCAGTTGGTCCAATGTGACCATGGAGTCTGTTAAGGTTCTGTACATGTGGCTGGAGTGGCTTCCAGGAGGTGGTAACATGTTAGTCAGATCTCAAAGGAGTAGAAGTTTAAGTGGGTGGAGTGAGGGACTGGGCATACAGGTGGTCCAGGCAGAGGGAACAGCCCGTGCAAAGGTCTGGAGGTAGTTTGAGTGCCAAGGGTGTGCTTTGGGGAGATTGGCTGCCGGCGGTGCTGTCTGGATCGGGCTGAATGTACTGCTGTCGTTGCAGGGACCTGGAGAAGCTGGAGCGGCAGGCAGTCCCCCAGGTCAACCACGCGGAGTCCTGTCGTGAGTGTGGCCGCGTGGGACCCGGACATGCGAGGGATTGTCCTCATCGCCGCCATGAGGACTCCTATGGCTATGAGAGGCGGGAGCAAGAGGAAGAACGGTACCGTTCGCACGCATCTGAGGGCAGGAGGGACAGGAGCAAGACCAGGTCCCCGTACTCGCCAGCTGAGGAGGATGCCTTGTTCGTGGACTTACCCAGTGGCCTGAGAGGCCAGCAGGCACAGCCCCAGAGGGCAGAGAAGAATGGCATCGCATACGGCCCAGGAGAGCAGAATGGGACGGGCGGATACCCGCGGGCCTTTCCTCCCAGGGCCAACCATGAAAAGCACAGCCAGAGGAAGAGCAGCCTGGCCCAGGTGGAGCACTGGGCAAAGTCCCAGAAGGGGGATGGCAGGAGGTCAGTAATAGATCTGAATCGCTGCTACCTATGAGCAAAATAACGCAATAACAGTCGCTGTCATTTACCCAGCATGCACTGGGTAATGCTGGCCTTAAACTCTCTACCTCCATTATCTCAGAAAATCCCATAACAGTTCTACAGGGAGGGGGAATAGTCCCAATTTATAGATGAGGAGAATGAGGCTGGGAGGAGGGAAGGAACCTGCCCAGGGCGCACAGATAAGTGGCAAAGCCAGAGTTCAAATCTGGGCCTGCAGGCCTCCCGAGCCACACGAGATAGCATGAGGAGGCTTCTTTGTTCCCGGGGAGCGCGCTTTGAGACAGTCAGCCTGTAGACAGCAACTCCTCTTCTCCTTTTACCTGCTCCTTCTCTACATCCGGGAAGTAGTTGTAGAAACTAGAGTAAGTGCAGGCCCATTTTTAACTTCCAGCACATAGAGCGGCGCTTAGGCACTGCTGACTCAGGCTTCACCATGCCCATTCCTTCAAGAAGCAGTTTTCAATGGTTTAGAGCACGTGAATCCTTGCTATTTGCAAAGCACTGTCTGTATTTTATTATAATTTTAGATTAATTAGGGCACATTTATGAACGTGAAGAATTCAGGGTCACCCAGCTTCCATTGTCCCCAGAAGCCTCTGTGTTTTGCCTTCAAGACAGTAAATCCCCCTCACTGTCCTCAGGCTTGTGAAACAAACCACCGACTAGAGAGGTGAGAGCAAGGCCTGGGCGCATTCAGAAAGTGCCCCCATGTCAGAAGGGCCCGGGGAAGTACCAGAGCTCAGGCCGAGTCTGCCACCGGCCTGGTAAACATGAGCTAACTGCCACACTTCATTCTCCCTGTTGGCGAGCCGGCTTTCCACCTGCAGGCTCTGCAGGCGGCAGCGCTCCTAGGGGAATAGCCCAGGCCTGCTTTCCAGCGCGTGGGTGTGGAGTGCATGTGCGGGTTGTGTAACTTCTTTAGTCTGGTCCAGCTGGACAGTCGTGAGGGTAGATGGTGGAGAAGTCACAGTGGAACCCCCTAAGCCAGTGGTTCTCAACCTTCTGGCCCTTTAAATACAGTTCCTCATGTTGTGACCCAACCATAAAATTATTTTCGTTGCTACTTCATAACTGTAATGTTGCTACTGTTATGAATCGTAATGTAAATATCTGATATGCAGGATTGTCTTCTGCGACTCCTGTGAAAGGGTCGTTCGACCGCCAAAGGGGTCGCGACCCACAGGTTGAGAACCTCTGCCCTAAACAATTGGTGGACATTGTTGTGGGCCAGACCAGGAGGAGGAGGGCCTTTTGTGTCAGAGCTGAGATGCTTTCCCATCCCCACTGGGACTGACCAGGTGTCAGTTCTGTTTGTTCGCATTTGGTGTCTTATGGAAAACGGAAGCTCTGCTCAAGGACACGGGAGGGGGCTGCCATGCTCGGTGCTGGACAAGGTGGTTGTAAGTGACTTTCCTGCTGAATGAGCTTGGAAAGCTGGGTCCTCAGATTAATGTAAGGAATTTGGGTTTTATTTGAAAAAGCAACAGGGGGAACCACTGGAAGGGTTGTTGTTTTTTTCATAAGCCTATTTTAATTTTTTTTAAAAATATATTTTATTGATTTTTTACAGAGAGGAAGGGAGAGAGATAGAGAGTCAGAAACATCGATGAGAGAGAAACATCGATCAGCTGCCTCCTGCACACCTCCTACTGGGGATGTGCCCACAACCCTGGTACATGCCCTTGACCGGAATCGAACCTGGGACCCTTCAGTCCGCAGGCCAACGCTCTATCCACTGAGCCAAATCGGTTTCGGCAATATTTTAATTTTTTAAATTTTCACAATTTAAATAAAATTCAGCTAGTTAACATAAACACAGAGGAAATGCACATAATTTACAGCCATGTACAGAATACAATAGCAACTCTCATATAAATGGTCAAAAGATATCAACTCTTGAAGTTGATTAGCAACTATGACTTTGAAAGGTCAAGATTTAATTGTTCACATATACAGGGGTACACATTCAAAATGCTTATTAACACAAAAACTGAGTGAAACTACAATTTTCCGTTTCTAAAAGGAGTAGCATAAAAAGTAGTATATAGCTTAATGAGAAATATAAGGGCACGGCAGAGAAGAAATCTGAGTAGGCAGAAAGTTAGTACATTATATGTTTTTATATATTTAAAATTCCTTCCAATTTAACTCATTCAGAACTATGTTCTTAGGAATGTTGAAGTCATGATCAATATTAGAGGGAAAAGCTAAACTATTATATTTATCAGCCCCAAAAGGGCCCCTATATATAATATTGTACTAACAGTCTGGGTAGAAGAGCATGTAAATAACACAAGACAGGCATGCCCAATACTGGGATAGTAAAAGATAGATTGATTTCTAGCATTTGAATCCTTCAAGTTCAAATTAATATTTTTAGTGATTTAATACAAATCTAAAAATACTGACATGTTTATGCTCTAATAAGAGTAAACACTCATTATTTTTAACTCAAACTCTGTTGGTCCTAATATACTAATGCTTTTCTACAATGGGCATTAGGTTTTAGGAGACAAAAGGCTGGATTAAATGATCTAATAATATTCTGTTCTTGGTTTTGAAGTTACAAATCAATTACTTGTGGGCCCCATCCATAAGGCTGGTTCCACAGTTACATACATAATAAAAATTAAGACAAGGCTTTGGTGATAGTTTTTTCCCCTGGATTTAAAAGCACTGTGGGACCCCACAATCACAGGGTTTGGTAATTCTCAGATTTGGACTTGGAAATTTAGGGGACTATTTTCCATGAGCCACAAGTACCAGAGTCCTTTCTGCTACTCTATGAGAGTATGCTGTTTCAGTATCTACTGCTTTAACCTGAGTAAGCTCAGTTTAATTTTGAGAAGATTCTACAATAAAAGTACATACTCATCCGAAGAGTGCCGACTACCTCCAATTTAGAAATAAAATGTTATCTGATAGAAAATAGATGAAAGCAAAACACCATTTTAAAAAAAGTTCAATGCTTTAAGTCTGCATCTTTCTTTTTAAACATTTGCCTCACTTAAAAACAAGATTTACAAAGAAATGTTTCAGAGGCAAATTTTATAAATAATCTGTAGTGGTCCCCCCCCCCCCCCCGCCCCAATTATCTCTGTCAGACATAAAGTACACTACAGCAGACTGTGCTTTGGGGGGGAAAAAGAATGAAAACAAACGACATTGCTCCTTTCCAGTTGTTGCACAAGGAAACGGCCTAAGACTAAGATCTTTTCCTTCCAGTACAGAAATAAAACTTACTTTTAAAAGCTAAATATAATGCACTAAAGGTCAACGTAAGTTTTACTTGCTAAATACAAACAGGAATATCACTGGAAGGTTTTAAGAGGTAAATGATATAATATTACTAATCCACAAAGCGCCTGTGGAGGAAGGAGGCTGTTGTAGTGGCCGGGATTGGTGACAATGGAAACAGAAAGAGATTGGAGGTGCATTTTAGAGGCTTAAAAGCAAAATTTGTCAATGAATGGGAAGTGCAGGATGAGAGAAAGGGAAGAACAAGGAGGATCCCTAGAATTTTTACTTGAATAACTGGGTGGTTCTGATGTGGGGAGGGATTAGAAACTAGTTTGGGTGAAATCGGGGTTTTCATGTTGGACACAGAAGTTTGAGAAACCTATTAGCTATCCAAGGGCAGATGTCATGTAGGCAGTTAGATATGGATGGTGATGTGGAGGTTTGAGGGCTGGTTGGACATGCTAATTGGGGGCAATCAGCATGTAAATGGTACCCCACCACTTAGAAGTTAGCAGCAGGAGAGGGATCCTGGAGAGTAGACTGTGGTCAAAGGGAAACTCATGATAAGTTAGCCGTTTCCTCTTCTGTGCGATTCTTAGGAACTGAAGTCTGTGTGGAGCTGGCTTGGGGGGTCAAAAGCAGGAGAAACCAGACGTCGGGGCAGATAGGAAGGGCAAGGGTTGACCCTGATGAGCCTGTATTTCCTGATGGGGAGTTTGGATTTAAGCTTGAGGCCCGTGAAGCCATTGGTGGACTTTGAGCAGCAGCCTGGCATGGCGCTGTTACTGAGAATGGTTCACAAGGCATTGGCAGGGTAGCAGTATGGCAGAAGGAATTCTACAAGCTGAGTGACTGCTATGCAGTGATAGGTTATTAAATGTGAAATGTCTCCACAGAACTGTTTCTGGCAGCCCACAAATCCGCATTATTCTGCTACACACAGTGGTCTGTGTTTGGGGGTGGGATGCACATCGGGGAGCTGAAAGATGAGAAGTCAACACCAGCAGATAAGAGGTGGCTGGGGAAGGCGTTGGACTGTCCCTAGGATGTGAGATGGGAGTTTGAGCCATTCTTATCTAAGGGGCAGGGTGACATCAGGTCTGCGGATGAAAACAGTCCGTTGACCTTGAAGGTCATTGAGCACGCGGTGAGCAGAACTTCAGACTAGTGGTAGAAGCACTTCTCAGTGGGCTGAAAAGCAAAAGTGAGGAATAGAAGGCAGAGTATGAACTACCTACCCTTTTGGGAGGAAAGCTGTCAGTCTCTGAGTAAGCAAAGTGCTTGGTCTCTGATCATTCACTTCTGTCTTGAAAGGACTGAGTGATCCTTGCATTCCCAGAGTTGTGGGTTTTTTTTTCTTAAAGATATATTTGAAATCTCTTACTGTCAAGAAATAAGTTGATCTGGCTGCTTAATGCAGGAACCTCCTCCATTTGAAAATATAGACAATGGATATCTCTGCCGTGTGATTAAGACTTTGCTAACCTCATTCGGTTGAGCACGTTGGACATTGAAAGGAGGGTTGGTTGGGCTGTATTAGGATCTTGTGTTCGTGGCTCTAGACCACAAGAAGTTGTTTATAACTGTTCTTTCAGGACTTGGAGATATATATTATATTTCACATCAATACACTTCTTTATGATGATGGTTTGTGGGGAACAGGCTGACGTACCCTTAGAATCTTAACACATCCTAAGAGGTTGGTTTGAAATGCTAGCCTTCTGTTATCCCCTGGTGTTTAAATTAATGCACACTTGTAAAGTAAAAAGGCAGGGTGGGGGTGGAGGTGGAATCAGGGACTCAAACATCAGTGAGGAACAGATGAGAAAGTGAAAAGTCCTACACAGTATGCAAGTGAGGGTGAGGACTGTCTGCTGAATAAGGAATTGGTGATAAAATTTGATTTTACATTCTGATGTGACCATTTTATAGTGGCTGTGTCAGAACATCCTGTTTGCTTTGGTGCCTTTTGGAACAGGGAGGCCCCATAGCCACAGAGCAGGATGCGAGGGCAAGAGACCCTGAGCACTCTTTTGGGGTAAGTCTGGAGTTGGGGGCCAGCAGATGGGTCTGCTGTCGGAACGAAGCTGCTCCCAGGGTGATCTTTATGTCATCTTACAGCCCTGCCCACCTCCTGGTCCTTCCTCGGGAGCCAGGGCTCACCATGGGACTGGGATCACCATGGCACTTGGGGTTGCCTCCAAGTAGCCAGCACTAGGGGTGGGGAGGAGGGGAGTGGCAGGCGGTGCGTAGGCTGTGGGAACAGGCTAGAGGGCCAGCTGAGGGCTTTGGGGCACTGCCCAGTGGGGTCTCTGGCCATGGGACACATAGGCAGCACCGGTGGGCTGAGAGCCACACCGAGGGGTGTGGGAGCACAGGTAGGACATGCTTTGTATAGTTTGCATTTGCTTCAGGCAGAGTGAACAGTGGTTAGTAAAGTCATAAGCTCCCCAGGAGGAGCCCACCTGGTTTGTGCCATTGCCATCACCGCAGTTACAGGATTCAGGCACTGCCCCTTCCTCAGAGTCAGGGTCCCCTCTGACGCTGGGAAATCAGCAGCAAACCCTGCCACCTAGTGGCAAGGAGACAAGCTACACAGACACTAGACAAGTCTGGGTGGAAGAGATCTCAACATGACCTCTTGTAATTGCAAAGATAACGATGAAAAGGGAGAAGAAAGCTACCATTTTTGAATGACAGCTATTTGTATTTAAAGTCTGTTTTTATTGATTTTTGGAGAGAGAGGGAAGGAGAGGGAGAGAGATAGAAACATTGATGAGAGAGAAACATCAACATTGATGGGCTGCCTCCTTCACACCCCCTACCAGGCATTGAACTCTGACCAGCGACCTCTTAGTGCATGGGTCATGTCATTGTTCAACCACTGAGCACACTGGCCTGGCATATGACAACTATTTCAAACCCTCACAACAGTCCATTGAGTGGTTCTTAGTGTTCCCACTTTATAGTAAGGAAAGTGAGGGTATAAATGACACCCGAGGATGTATGGTAAGGAAGAGATGAAATGAGATGAGTTTTAAAACAATTAGAATGATTTTAGAACAATTATAATGTTAGCCACCTGAGGTCTTGTTAAAACACAGGTGGCTAGGCCCCACTCCCAGAGTTTCTGACTTGGCAGGTTTGGGTGGGACCTGGTAGCCTGCCCGTCTAACTGCCCGGTGGTGCTGATGCTGCCGCACGTCTTGCTCGTGGTAAGCACTATACAGAAGTTTGTTGGGTAGAGTTGATAGATAAAGGCAGGGTCAGGACTCCAACCCAGGCCTGTCTGATTCTAACACCTGTTCTCTTTTGACAACATGCTGCTTTTAAGGCTGAATAAATCGCTATACTTTGCCCTTTGCTGAATTTTTGTTTTGCAAAACAAGATGGCTGGTTGGTTGTGGTTTTCATGATCATATCCAGCTTTTGTGTGCTGGCGTATTCATTTTAAATGGCTGGTTATGCATGAAGACTTTCTCAGCCCGTGGACAATCCCACAGAATGTAAGACACGGGTCCTGCCCTGCAAGGATGTGCAGCTCGGCTGGGAAAGAGATGTCTTGCAAGTATGACAAGAACCTCAGAAAAGTTACTGACTGTATAGTCACTAAGTCAGAGCAGAGCAAGAACCCCGAGGGCTGTGGCATTGCAGAGGCCTCTGTGGACGGACAGTGTCCTGGAGAATGAGTGAGTTAGGGTGCACAGGGCACTGGGAGCCCATGCAGGTGGGGGAGGGAAGAACAATATGAAAATGAGAACTGGGAAGGGAGCACCCGCTGGTGAAGTGCCTTCTATGCATCAGGCATGGAGCCTGCATTCTCTCATGGACGCTTCGGAGCAGTGGGCAAGCTGCCCAGGGTCACATCGCCAGTGGATGCCAGAGCTAGGACTCTAGAGCTAGGACTCAACCCCAGGTCAGACTGCCCTGCCTTTTCCACATGAGAAGTTGCCCAGGGGTGTAGGAGGCTGGGCGGGATTAGGGGGAAGCTCTCACTCTCAGGCTCCGGTAATGACAGGGCCGCATCCGAGGGGGGCCTCCTGGCCTGTTGGGCCCGAGACGCCTGGCCCTGGCTCGCCCCAGCTCAGTCCTGGTCCCAGTAGGAGGAGCAGTGAGAAGACAGCAGGACTGCAAAGTGGGTTGAGGTCAGACGCTGCAGAGCTATGAGGACCAGGCGAAGGGATTTAGATTTCATAAGCAGTGGGGAGCCATGGAAGTTTATGGAGCACGGCAGTGATTGGATCTGAACACTTGACTGCATACTGTGTGGAAACTAGTGAGGAAGGTCTCAAAGTTGTCTTGGGGGAGGGGAGGTCATTAGTCAGTATCTAGACTAGGGTAGTAGAAAAAGAAGGGAACCGATGTCAGCACGTCCATTAAGAACCTGCAGGACTTGGAGCGGTGATAGCGGACACAGGCAGCGTCTTGGGGAGCTGGAGAATTGCGAGGTCCTTCCTCCTGAAATGTGCACACCCATCGGAAGAGCTGACAGGGGTTAAGTGGGAGAGAGGAGAAGGCAGGTTTCCTCCCTTGACGTGATGGGCGTGGGGTGGCCAAGTTGGCCTGGTAGAGGATTGACACTCCGAGGCTGACAGGGGAAAATGGCTTTGGAGTCCTTTGCCAAGAGACGGAAGTCCTGGGTGTCTGCTTTGATTGTCCTCTAGGGTTCTTACAGGCCTGGCCTTGCACGTTTACTTAGCTGTGTTTCCAGATGCCTCGCAGACCCTGTCCTCATCTTACCTGTCCTCATCTTACCTGTCCTCCTCTCTCCTCAGCTTCCCCCCGGACCAGACCCTTCCTCGCCACGGTCCCAGCCAGCCCCTGTCCTTCCCAGAAAACTACCAGACTCTTCCCAGGAGCACCCGTCACCCCTCGGGGGGCTCCTCGCCTCCGCCCCGCAACCTGCCGAGTGACTACAAGTACGCGCAGGACCGAGCCAGCCACCTGAAGATGTCGAGCGAGGAGCGCCGGGCACACCGCGATGGCACCGTGTGGCAGCTCTACGAGTGGCAGCAGCGCCAGCAGTTCCGGCACGGCAGCCCCACGGCGCCCATCTCCCCGGAGTTCCCCGAGCAGGGCCGGAGCAGGAGCATGCTGGAGGTGCCCCGCTCTATCTCCGTGCCTCCATCTCCCTCGGACATCCCTCCCCCGGGACCCCCGCGGGCCTTCCCACCCCGGCGGCCACACACACCAGCAGAGAGGGTCACGGTGAGGCCACCGGACCAGAGGAGGAGTGTGGACATCTCGTTGGGCAGTTCTCCCAGGAAGACATGGGGCCACACCACCAAGGTGAGGCTCTGGAGTCCTGTCGGGCTGCTGGGGTCCAGCATTAGGGCACCAGGCACCTCACGTGGTTTGAACACAAATTTGAGCAATTTGCAGTAATGAGAGGTCACACTTACGCAGTGATTTTAGGTGTCGGGTGCAGGGCTAAAGGAGTTACTTTAATTTTTATAACAGCCCAAAGAGGTAGGTGCTGTTATGCCCATTTCACTGATAAGAACTCTTGAGGCATTAAGAAATGAGTAACTTGCATGGGGCCAGACAACTAGAAGTCTGCTTCCTTGCAGCTTGGAAGGCAGGAAAAGCTGTCAGTGTTCAGTTTAATTATCTATAATAATAAAAGCATAATATGCTAATTAGACCAGACGTCCTTCTGGACGAAGCCGGGGCTGCAAGGGAACCCTAGGTCCCAGGTGCCAGAGGGAAGCCGGTGCCGGCAGCCGGGGGAAGGAAGGCCTACTCTTGCATGAATTTTGTGCATCGGGCCTCTAGTGTATAATAATCCAACTTAAGTTTTAACTCGTCAGGGGGCTTTCACAGTTTGTCACTGTTCTAACCGGGTGAGAAAGGGGGGTATCTTCATTTTACAGATGAAGAGTGAGGCTCAGAGAGGTGATGTGCCTGAGGTAGGCTGCCCTGGCAGTGAGTGGCAGAGGTTCTGGCCCCCTTGCTTGGCCCTCAGTGTGACTTCTTCTCTCCCCACCTGCAGAACTCCTCGCACGTGGACCGACGCTCCATGCCCTCCATGGGTTACATGACCCACACTGTCAGCGCTCCCAGTTTACACGGAAAATCGGTAAGCGGGGCTTCATCTCCCCCTCCAGGCGAATGATATAGTGCAGCCTGCAAAGGGCTAATCTCGTCTGATCCCCCCCTTCCCTCCGCCCCCCAAGCCAATCCAATGCGGTCTGCAGGGCAGTTTTCAACCCCCAATTTAGAGAGGAGAAAACTGAGGCTCAGAGAAGTCGAATGACTTGCTCAGGGTCACGCCGCCAGCGCTGGGTCCTTCCCAGATCCGATGAAGAGCTTGGGGAAGTGGAAGAGAACATGGGCTCTTCTCTTTCGGACAGCATTTTCCAGCCACCTGCTCTTCTCTCGTTAGCTCCTCTCCTGGTCTTTGCTTTGATTAGTTAACCATCTTCAAAGTGTGAGTCTGGGTGAGGGCCACTGCTGGCCGCTGTTTTCTGGAAAAAGCACTTCCTGCAGCCCCTTTCCCGCCAGTGCCTTTATTTGTCCTAATGACAGAATTAATGCAGCAATTACCTAATGGTGTCACATCAGTGCTGGCCCAGCACGGGGCGAAGAGTAATTATAGCGACGTACTCCTGCGGTGGCTAATTTCCTCGTGATGTGTCTACACACCTGCAGCTGGAGGAGCTCTCGCTGCTTCTCACCCGGTTACGGCGGCACCAGGCCAAGTTGGCCAGTGTGCGAGATTTCGCCGTGGGCCAGTTACTGCAGCACCAGCTGACCTTTCCCACCTGCCAGGTCAGCACCCCAGGTCTCTGGGGCCGGGGGCCACCCCAGAGGCAAGGGCGTGACGTGCTGGCCCATGTTCCCTCGTGCCACGCTCTGGTCTGTCCTTGCTGTCTGGCTCTCTCCCTCGTTCCCTGCCTGTTTGCTTCTGGATGTGACTGCCGGACACTGTGCCACGGTGGTGGGGCCCGTGCCCAGGCACCGGGGAGGAGGCTGCATGTGGTGTGAGGGCCCTGAACTGTGGCTTCTCTGGCTGTGAGTAGGGACTGGCAGGCTGGTGTGTGGCCATGTCCGAGGGGCTGTGCTGGCTGTCGTCCTTGTTACCACCATGGGTCCTCCTGGGGTGCCTAAAGGTGTGTGCCAGCCTGGAGGGAGAAGGCAGAGTGCCCAGCCAATAGACCAAGCAGCCTCACATCCCTTGCCCTGGTGAGCCTCACAGTGACCTGGGGGAGGGTAGGTAGGGCAGGAATTATGAGCGCACAGCAGGCAGCGGGTCAAGAAGGGACGTGACTTGCCCGGGATCCCTCGGTTACATCCAAAGCCCAGGTCCTGCCTGCACAGTGTCCAGGCAGTTGCCCTCCCAGTGTCTGGAGCAGCTTAAAGAAGATGCTGGTGCAGACAGGACTGGCCCCTCTGAGTTACACAGATATCGGCAGAAGACAGATGCACAGGGCGATGGGATGGTCGCCTTCCTTGTCCTGTTTTAGTGGGACCTGAGGGACTCAGGAAATGTACTTGGGAGAATGAAAGTAAGGGGACACTTACAAAAACCCTAAGTTGTGAATTTGGGTGTTTTTTAAATAACATTTATATAATATTAATTTATTAATAATTTATTAATGATTTAATAACATTGCTCTGTCCCTCTTACTGCCGTGGAAAGTGTATAGGGACCAATAATAAAAAAGAAGAAAGTGTGTAGGGACTGGGCTGATTCAGGAACTAGGGAAGGGTAAGGGGACAGTTTAGGGACAGAAATAAGATCTTGCTAATTAGTGTCCCTGGCAGTGGTCCTTCAGGCCTCCTCATGCTTAAACGCACGGCCCGCATGTGTCGCGTTGTTTATCTGTGTGTTTGTTTTACATCAGAGCTGTAAATGGACCATCCTCCCAGCCATGCTCGCCGCGGCTTGTTGGAGGCCTCTTAGTCTGCTGAGAAAGTGTGCCTGGGCTGCTTTTGAAACCTCTCTGCCTCACAGTCAGCGCCCGTGACCTGTTGCACGGGAAGCACAAGTTCTAGGAGAGCAGTCTTTTCCTTATTCTCACTCTTCCTAGTAATTATTCTGAAGAACTCAGCACTGTCGGAGACGATACGAGCTGATAGGTCTGACCCTGGCCCTTCCTCAGGTAGCTCCGATGTGGTCACTCTGGCTTCACACTGAGCAAGGAAGCCAGAACTTCCAGCTTCCAGGAAACGCCCAGGGGCTACTGGTGTTTATTATTCTGAAACCCAAGGTCATAAGGGGACATCCTGGGCCATCTCCCGGCCTCTTCCAGGCATTTACCCGTACCGATCATGGGTCATTTTGCTTCATGCATGTGAATAACTCAGTGCAAAGGTTTGATGACAAAATTTGGAGTACTGGCCATCGATGGGCCCTAGCTCAGGTGTAGCATGTCGTCTTCCAGGGAGACCTCTGTAGTTGTCTCAGGAGATCACCTCCGCCTCAATGGCATTGCTGTCCTTGCCTTCTGGTGGGATGTGTGCTGTCCGCCTCCTTGCCATCAAACTGCCCCCTCAGCTGATGAGGGGACAAGCTGGCTTTCCCCACAGCGACCTGCAAGATCCATCATGCTGAGAGCGGGCTCCAAGCTGCGCCAAGACATTTGTGCTTCCTCTGTGGCCTGGGAAGTGTTGGTCTGCTGTGGTCCCTGTCCCCGATGCTGTGCAATGTGAATCATTCATGAAGCCCAAACACACAAATAAACATGGAAACCCTTGCTGCTCATAACTGGGTTCTCTGTGCTTCCTTTGAAGGCTGATGATACCTACCTCCAGCTGAAGAAAGACCTGGAATACCTGGACCTAAAGGTGAGCCACATCAGGGGTTCGCGTCCCTTGGACACTCACCTTACTGAGAGTGTCCGCTCCATCGTAGCCAGGCCCACGCCAAAGACCGTGCAGGTCTGATCAAATCTGGATCCCAAATGGAGACGGCTGCTGTCCAATCAGAGGAGTTTTCTTACAGCCTCGGATTCTGCGCTTAGTTCTTGTGAATTCTGCTGTGCGGTCTCTGTCCTACCGAATGAGGCCACGAAATTCGGATCTCTTCCTGTCCTTGGTCAGAACCCAAAGGTCCCTCCAAACAGTAACCGGCTGCTTCTTCAGAGCCTGCAGTGGGGTGGGGCCGAGTTTGGTTCAGAGAAGCCCCTGGTGTGTGCTTTTGGTCACAAGTAGGTCGGCGGATCATTCGCTGCCAGGGACATGGTTCCACGTGGAATTACGTGGCTCTGAGGGGCGCCGTCTCTCCCACCCCCCATTTAGGAGACCATCACTGGTGATAAAGCTCCGGGCTCCAATCAGCCTCCTTGGCACAGAGAGCCCGAGGAAGCCGGGGAACTGAGAGGCACTGCCTGACAGCTGCCATTGTGGCGTTCACCGGGCTCTCTGAAAGCCCCCCCTGTGAAGAGCACTTCTTATGCCTGAGCCATGAAACAGACTGAAGGAGTGTGACCTTTAGTTAACTGCGGGCGTGAGAGGCGGTGAGGGCTGTGGGAGGGCACCCAGGTGACTGCCATGGGGCATGCTCCTCCAGTCTCCGGGGTACCTGGCTTGAGAGATTTTTTGTCCTCCAGCCTTGTAGAAGTGGGGTACGAGCATCAGGCCCTATGGCAGCCTGTTTAGAAAACAACTAATGAACTGCTGTATCTAGTGAGCACTTGCTGTGTACTCGGCTCTGGAGAAGCCTAGGGGAGGTGCAAGAGTAAAATCGAGGCTCTCTGGGTTGGGGAAAGAAAACATCCCCAAATAACAGACTTCTTTACAAAGATGTGGCCCAGTGCTCAGAGCGGAGATAATGAGGATTTCTGTGGGCTGCCCTGCTGGGAAGGCTTCAGGAGGAGGTGGCGTGTGGGTGGAGCCGGGAAGAGCCAGAATATTTGCGTTGGCTGAGATGAAAGGGAAGGGGATGGAGGGAGCCAAGGAGAGCCAGGTGAGGGTGGTGTGGCCTTGGCCTCAGGAATTGGAGGTAGCTCGTTCATGCTCCGGATTCTGTCTCAGGCTTCCGGAAGGAAGGTGCAGTGAATGGAAGTCTGACTTGGTTTTTGGACACGAGCAAAACAGGGTTCTCTCAAAACCAGGGCGTTTTCTAGTTCCCGTGGCGTGAACCAGTATTGTAAGTGTGGCAGTAATGCCTCAGGGTACCGAGTACTCAGACGTGGGTGTGGGCTAACTGTGCCACCCGTGCTCCTGTGCCCTGATGGGACAGGGCAGGGTCCTTCCACCACGTCCACCATCCCCACCTGACCGGGGAGGTCCACAGCCCCTAGCCTCCATCGGCCACGTGTGTCCCCACATCCCTGGTCCCTGGACTGCCCGACCGCCAGCCACCATGTCGCTGTTTCTTTGCACCCCTGCTCTGGGGCTGTGCCGTCGGCACAGAAGGATTCGTGGAGCATCCACGTCCTCGGCCTGTGGCAGAGGCTCAGCCCGGCAGCAGCACAGGTGTGTGTGAGACCCCCTTCACCATGCTCGGTGCACAGGGCGAGAGGAACTCCATGAAGTGCCTGGGCCAGAAGCCTGGGAGTAGCCGTCTCCTGACTCCTGTTTGTGTGGGAGAGCCGAAACGCACAGTTCTCCTGGAGTAAAGATCCAGCCCAGACTGTAGGATTGGTGTTAAAAGGAGTCTAGAGAGAGGGAAACCGAGGCACAGGATAGCAGAGCAAGGCCAGGAGTCCCTGTGTGTCCTGACTCCCAAGAGAAGCTAAAACACAATTCAGGGTATCACGCGTGCCGGCCGCTGTGCTTTGCTCCGATGGAGTGTGTGAGCCCCTCAGCAGTTCTGGGAGGGAGGTGGCGGATTGTGTTGTACAGACTAAAGCTCTGAGAGAGAAACCACATGAGCAGTGACTGGGGAGTCGGTACTTATGTGTTGCTCTGACTCTGGAGCTCATGCTCTTAATCACCTTTTCTCCCAGACTTTCCTGAAACTCTCCTCCTACCACTGTGCACCCGGAGGAGTTAAGTTTTTTATGGAACCGAACTGGGGGTTGTTATGCCAGGAAACGTGTTTGATGTGATGGAGGCAAGGTGTGTCCTTGGGGTGTTTCACTGGCTGGGAGCTGGGGGTGCCCCGAGCATTAGCAATTGGAAGTTGTCGCTGTTTGTCATGAACAACAGCTGTGTTGATGCCAGGCCTTCCCTGGTCTTGTGGATGTTGCTCCAGTTGCTGGCTCCTCTCAGAGAACTAGTCCCCCAGATCAATGGACCAGAAGCCCGTGTGGGAAGAGATGCTGGGGTTTGTGCTGCATGTGAGTCATCAGTCTGGCGTGGCTGCCAGAAAGGCAGGCACCACCTTGGCCTGCCTCCAAGGGACGGGGTGCCCATATCGGGGAGGCAGTGGGCCTGCTCTGCTCTGACCCCGCTGGGGTACAGGGTTCCCAGATGGGTGTCTCCCTTGGGGATCCAGACGAGGGAAGGGCTGGAATCAAAGGAGAGGTGCTGAGGACCTGCAAACCCTGGCTGAGGAGTGTATAGGTGGGATGCTTTCGCCTGCAAGTGTCTGAAACCCACATCAACCTGCTAAGCCAGAAAGGGAATATACGTTACAGGGTTACACTCCACGGGCTTAGACCATGCTGTCCCTGGTCTACCTTCCTTGGTGTGCAGGCTGCCTCCACATGGCATGGGAAGGAGGCACCTGCAAATCCAGGTTCATTTCCTCCCGGCCTCACCTCAGAGTGAAGGAGAGGTCCCTCAGGGAGGGCATGCTGGGCAGAAGCAAGAACCACAGCGGCGAGCACAGCTCCAGTGCAGAATGTCAGAGGTTAGGTCAATTCAGGGGAGACATAGACACAGTCTGTAAAGCTCTGAACTATTACCAGGTGCCCTCTGTGGCCCTAAGGGGGAGTTAGGACAAGTGGAGAGTAGCTATAAGTAGACCGGTTTCCATTTAGTAGGAAAGAGACTTTTCTAAAAGGGCCACCACAGGTCACGGTGGACTCTCCACCACGGTGCAGCTGAGGCCAGAGGAGCACTGGGTGGGATGAGCGGCTGGGTCAGGAGCACCCTGAGGCCACTGGCTCCTGCCAGCGGTTCTCAACCTGTGGGTCGAGACCCCTGAAAATACATCCTGCGTATCAGATATTTACATTACGATACATAACAGTAGCAAAATTACAGTTATGAATTTGCAACGAAAATAATTTTATGGTTGGGTCACAACATGAGGAACTGTATTAAAGGGTCGCGGCATTAGGAAGGTTGAGAACCACACTGAGCCAGACGGGGGCCCCTGAGACGCGGGCCTCTGTGGACACAATTGGATGGGCCCGGGCATGGAGATCATGACAGGCACAGTCCCCACGGTCACCAGCTCCTTGTGAGAGGCCCCTCCCGGGTCCTTTCGGGGGAGGAAGGAGGTTGGCCTAGAGTCCCCCTGGTCTCTGCCCGAGGGCCACAGACTTAAGGATCAGAGCCCATCATCCCCTCCATCAGCGAGGCTCAGCTTCCGGAATCAGGATGTGGTGATGTGGGGTTTTTTCTTCCTGAAATGAGCATTCCTGCTGCGGTGCCAAGCGGTCCCACAAAGGTGCACGCCACTGTCTTAGAAGACACTTTGTTTAATGTTCTTTTGGGAAACGTTTACATCTCTGGCGTTTTAGCTGGCGGTGCCACGGTGGAAAGGGCTCCACATAGATTAGGCGTCTCTCTCTGCCTGGCAGTGTTTGGGCACCTGGTGTTCTTATCGCACTTAATCCTCTCAGCATCCTTGAGCAACGCAATAGGAATTATTATCCCCACCTTATCAACCAGGAATCCACGTATCAGAGGGGTGACTTCTGCAGTCACACAGCTGGGATTCAACCCACTGACTCACTGCACACCTGCCACCTTCCTTCCATGTACCATGCAGTTCACCTGCCCTAAAGGTGCATTCGCTGAATTGTACTTCTGGCATCGAAGTTCTGCACTTCAAGATCCTACACCCCGGCTGGGTCTGCGGGGGGGCGTGGGGGTTCCCTGTTGTTGACAGCTTGAACTGTTTTTACGCAGCTATGAAGCACAGCTGGGACGGGAGGCAGAGGGGAGGGTGTCTGCCAGCTGCTCAGCTGATGCCTTTGTAGGTAGAGTAGGTAGCAGTCAGCTCCAGAAAGGTGCTTGTCCCTGGTGAGGGGCATGTCACCAGTGGCTCCAGGTGCCTGGCTCCCAGGCCCTTCCTGACGGTTTGAGCCTGTGATCAGGGCTTCCCTGTTCAGGTCTGTTCCACAGTCAGCATCCAGAGCAAAGTTCCTCACGGTGTGGTCTGGGCACTACCTGTTGCAGGACCCCCTGGGAGCTCAATAAATCATTGCAAGTCTGGGGTTCTGCTGAATTAGAATCTCTGGAGATGGTGCCCAGAATTCTGTCTTTTTTAAAAATCAAGCTTTGGGGCAATTCTTATGCATATGAAGTTTGAGGTCTGTTGTTCTGGAGAAGAGATTATTAACTCTGGCCATGAACCAGAACAACCCGGGGAGCTCTTTAATTGAGCATCGCTGCTTGGGTCCCATCCCTTAGCACAGTGGTTCTCAACTTTCCTAATGCCGTGACCCTTTAATACAGTTCCTGTCATTTAGAGCGGTGCCATCCTTAGTCCCGCAGACCCTTGTGGTGACCCCCAATTTCATTGTTACAAATGGAACATAATTAAAGCATAGTGATTAATCACAAAACAATATGTAATTATATGTGTTTTCTGATGGTCTTAGGCGACCCCTGTGAAAGGGTCGTTCGACCCCCCAAAGGGGTCGTGACCCACAGGTTGAGAACCGCTGCCTTAGCGGCTCTGATTGAATTGATTACACTCAGGTATTGCTCTTAAAAACAAACAAAATCTCCCTCAGTGTTTCTGATGTGTAACCACAGTTGAGGGATATTGTTTCAAAGCACTGGTTCTGGAAGTGTTATACCAGGCCAGCGGCATCAGCAATGCCAGGGAATGTGCTGGAAATGCAAAATCCTGAGGCCCAAGGCCTACCCCAGACCAGCTCTAGCTCGGTGAGAACTGCTAGGGGTGGGGCCCAGCAGATCTATATACAGGGATGGGAAAAGTATACTTACAATTGTTCGTATGGAGAAAGATATGCAGGTTGTAGCTTTAGTCACACAAAAGAATGTTACTCACAACTGTAAACCTACTTTTGCCCACCCCTGCATTAACAAGCCCTCCGGGTGATTTTGAAGCACCATAACCTTTAGGAGCCACTGTGTGGAGTCGTTGTTCCCAATCCTGGCTGCATATTAGAATCCCCCAGGAGGGCTTTTGAGCATCCCAATGCCCGGGCCCCACCCCAAACCAGCTACATTCGAGTCTCTCAGCCTGGGACTCGGCCATCAGTATCTGTTCAGGTTTCTGAGTCATTCCAGTGCTCCAGCCAGGCTTGAGACCCACTGTCTGAGCCGGTGAGGACAGTCTTCCCTCAAAGCAGCTGCCAGCCCTGGGATCCTGGGTGAGACATGGTGACTTAGCTGCAGGTGCAGCACAGTGTGGAGGCGAGGGTCTGCGGGCCTAAGGATGGCACCGCTCTAAATGACAGTGTGTGATGAGGGAGGACGAAGGAGACAGCAGAGTTGCCTCTCGCCTTCTGTGGCAGCACCCAGGATCCAGTGGGCACGGAACTCGGCTCTCACGTAAACTGGCCTGCACGGAGGTCCTTCGGGCAGAGCTGACCATCCCGTTTTATAGACGCGGGAACTGAACTCCGGAAAGGCCCGCCCGCTGGGAAGCCAGCACGAGGACTGAGTCCCAGTCACATAACACGTCCTCCTTCAGGGTCCCCTTGCCCGTTCCCCGTTCCCCAAATTCTGGCTCCTTCAAGTGTTGTTTGATGTCTCACCTGTGACGTTTTGTTGTGTTTGCCTTTAACGAACCTTTGATCAGCGTGCTTTACAGAGTGCTGAAGAAGTCAGCACAGGGCTGGCGGCCCAGGAGACGCGTAAGACGATCTGACCTGTGTCTCCAGGCGGGGCCATTCCATGCTTCTGGCTCAGTGCCGATTCCATCACGTGCTTAACCAGGGGCTCTCCTGGCCACCCCAGGCTTCCTGCCAGTCATTTCTGTTTATTTTCTTTCTCTTAAGCTCCTGTCAGCGTGTTGGCTGGTGCACCAGGCTGAGCCTCTCATCCGTACTGTCCTGTGATTCCATCTTTTGTGCTGCCACAGGGTGGCGGGGTGGGGGCGGGGGCTCGCCCAGCTTTGCTTCCAGCTTGTGTCATGTCCCATTCTCCCTCCTCTGCCTCCACAGCGAGGCCTGGCCTAGACAGAGACCAGCACGGCCTGGGTAGTCGAGCATGAGCCTTGGGAGGGAGCGGTTGTTCCTGGTCATCTTGGAGGAGCTGGGTGTCCTCGGATTCCACCGTGGACCTGCATTAAATTAAGGTGGCTCTTCTTCGGGGCAGGGTGCTGATGTCTGGAGCTGGACTAGAACAAAATAGGGCCTCCCACCCCTCGCTTTGACCGATGCAGAAGTAGCGCCTGGAACACGGCCAGCTTTTGTCGCTTTCAAGGGAGGATGCGGGTTGGGAGGCAGGTGCTATGCCTGGTCATCCTGAGCCCTGAGAAGAGGTGTCCTGGGAGGCGGTGGAGGGAGTAGGAGGGCTGGGTCACCTTCAGTGCCTTTCTGATGCAGACACCATTTGAACCGACACTTGATGTTGTCAGTGGATTTAAACATTGCTAACACAAAGCAGTTTTAAAAGGGAAAGTAGATGCCATACACTTCTTGTGGATATTTCATAGTCGTCTCGGCTCTCCGGGACAGCTAAATTCAGAAGCTTCAAGGGCCTCTGAGCTGTGTGAACGCGATCACAAAGCCCAGCTCTACAACCTGTGGCCTTTACTCAGGGCTTGGGCCCTGAGCACAGCCAGCTCACCTGGTTTTGTTACAATCACAGACTCACTAAGCAAACATTTCCCAAATATCCTCAGTATGATGGGCCCTGGCTGGGCTTTGAGGATGCAGAGAAAGTAGGTCACAGTCTGACAGTCACCCCTAATTGGGTTAGTTCCTAGTGAGGGGAGACAGAACGTTTCATCTGATGTACTAAGGCCCTTGTGGGAGACACAGGTGTGGGAGCATCTCCCTGGAAGGGCACCAAACCCAGCTACAGGGAGGGAGATGGGAAAACAGCAAGAATGTCACCTGCATTGAATTTCTAATCCCAAGAGACTCAGTCTGAGTTTGAATTCCTAACTCACAGCACCTTAAGAGCAGCACATTGAAAGGGCACAAGGGAAAGTTACTTCTTTGAAAAGAAGGAGTGCTAATACCCCAAGAGAGAAAAAGAAACATTACATGTCAATCTAAAATGGACATGAAATCACAGAAATTTGGGAGCACTTAATCAAGGGCTAATAGCTTCTAAGAAATTCTATATTACTGATTTTTTATAATGATTGATTCGTCCCCCCATAAACGGTTGAATATATATTCATCATTCTGTGATGGCAGTGAAGGGCATACTTTTCGTAAGCACTCCACCAAAAATAAATTTAAAAGGTTCGGCTTTCTCAAAATGCCCTTTTTGTGTAGAACCCCTCACTTAATTTCTGGTGGTGCTGGATAAACGAGGCATCGCTCAATTAGATTCTCTGCCTCGCTATTTCAGTATCGAAAAGATCTCATCTGTAAAAAGCTTCAGTGATAAACGGGGGAGAGTTTTGCCAGGAGGAAAAGTCCCCAAAGCATATCTCATTTTGAACATGATTTCTTCCTGGGAAATGAGCCGAGTGTCAGCCCCGTGGAGGGTAGGCAAGCTCTGCCCTCTGCTTTGATGAAGGACTATGCACAGAGTGAAGACTCCACTGCATTCGCCTGCTGGGTTCCCCTGGGTTTAAAGGCCCAAGTCCTACCTGGGAAGTTCAGCTGTTTGTGGTTCACCAGGATTAATTCCACCGCCTCCCTCTCCCCTTCTGCCTGTTTGTTTGTGGATTGTTGCTGGAGTCAGTGTGTTTCGTGACTGTGTGTATACGTGTATGTACACATCATCTGTCAGTTTGAAGAGCAGAATTTGGCTGGAGTTCCATTTTTTTCCAGGAACTCGACAGCACTGACTTACCAGTATTTCCCTTTGACCTACTTGCAATGCAAGGAGCCTTTGCCAAGTGCCCTTCAGTGCCAGGCCTTGTGTTCGGGGCTGACTTTACTGAGATAAATAAGACAGTGGTCCCTGCCCTCTACTGTGTGGCCAAAGGGAGCCTGGGAATGGGTGGGGGCAGGTCTGCAGCCAGACTCAGTCCTCAGGCCAAGGCATGGATGGAGAAGGCATTCTCCTTTGACCTTGACCTTTGCTGATAATGATTGTCAAGGAGAGGGAGTATAGGACAGTTGGACATATGGAGGGGGAGCGGGGCTTGAGTTCTGAAGGAAATGCTTGCCAATATATTTCTACTTCTGATTCACATTCACAAACTTAGTGGACCTCCCAGATGGAGTAGGGAGAAAGCAAGGGCCAGCAGCTGTCTGTCCATCCACACTGGGACACACCACACCTATCTTGGCCATGGTTAGCTACGCCCTGTTGTTTCCCTGGTCAGATCTGCAAAATGGAGTTCCCTACGGGGGGGCACATTCAACTGGGCGGTTCCTGCCCATGGCTTGGCCATAGGGGGAGGGCATCTGTGTAAACCCCCCCCTTCCCCCCCGCACAGCTTTTGGCAAGAAATGATATTTAGGGAAATGAAAACATAGGCTAAAGAGTTAGGTTTAGCTTCGTAGGGGTCAGAGAGGGATGGGAAACTTGTTGCCCACATTGGGTCAAGGGGGGGATGGGAAATGTGAAATTCCACCTGCCCATAAGTTTGGGTGATTTTTGTTTATTGCTTTGTGGCTTCCTGTCTTGAGAGGATGGGGTAATATACAAGTACGGCCCAACACCAGTTATTTCAGGATCACTTGAAAACCCCAACCAGGAATTACCCAGGTTCCTTCTTCCCTTGGCCAGGTCCTCTTCCCAGATAGTTAGAGTGGGGAAGGCTGACCTTACTCACGGGCAGGTGGGCTACTCAGACACTTCCTGAAACTAAGGCTTGACATTGTCCCAGGGATTTGCTCATTCCTCCTGGTCCACCCACCCCATTGCCCTGGGCTTCAGGCACTTGTGTTTGACAACTCTCTTATCAGTGACAAATCTTCCAAGATTCATACTGATTTTGTGCAAATAGAAACTGCTGTAGTTGACAATGCTATAATTTGAATATCTGCGTTCCCTTTAGTTTGAGAAATTTACAAGTGCTACTAGAATCTTGAAAAGGTTTCAGTTTTTCCCTAAAATGAAATAGGCATGAAAATGAAGTAGATATTGCCTCAGTTTTGCCCCTCCTGTGCTGTGACCCTGCCTGCCGCTGCCAAGACTTCCACACCCATCCATCGTGGGGCTCACTTTCCTTCCGGAGTTCGGATCCCAAACCCTGTGGTTAAATCTCCTTCAACTTGTTCACCTCACAGATGACAGGCCGGGACCTTCTCAAGGATCGAAGCCTGAAACCAATGAAGATTGCCGAGAGTGACATTGACGTGAGTGAACTGAGTGGTAGCTGACCGCTCGCTCCGTCGGCTGCCTGCTGTCCCCAGCCCCGGGGTGGGCAGCTTCGGGAGGGTTTGGAGGGTTCTGTAGCCAGAGGCTTCCTGTTTACACTCCAAGGCCATGCCCTTTCCTCATCATCCCAGGCCCTCTCCAACCTGTTCTTGCTCACAGGTCAAACTGAGCATCTTCTGTGAACAAGACAGGATCCTCCAGGACTTGGAAGATAAGATACGTGCCCTCAAGGAGAACAAAGTATGTATCAGTTTTGCATAATCTTAGGCTGGGTGGGGTAGGAGGTTTGTCCTTTTACAGTCATAGACGGGATGGTATCGAATAACAGGTGTTAGTTTATCCAGAACAATGTCTTTGGGTTTAAAGGGTGTTTCTTGGGGGAGGGGAGCGGTTCTTTCTGAACCTGGAGGAAACCTTATAGCAGCGGTTCTCAACCTGTGGGTCGAGACCCCTTTGGGGGGATCGAACGACCCTTTCACAGGGATCGCCTAAGACCATCGGAAAACACATACATAATTACATACTGTTTTTGTGATTAATCACTATGCTTTAATTATGTTCCATTTGTAACAATGAAAATGCATCCTGCATATCAGATATTTACATTACGATTCATAACAGTAGCAAAATTACAGTTATGAAGTAGCAACGAAAATAATTTTATGGTTGGGGGTCACCACAACATGAGGAACTGTATTAAAGGGTCTCGGCATTAGGAAGGTTGAGAACCACTGCCTTATAGGGAGACCTTGACCTAATACCACTGCCCTCCTCCTCCTACTCCCTTAATTCTGCTCTGGCCCACCTCTCCCTGGGGGCCTGGTGAGGTGAGCCTGGGAGAGGTGGTCCCCCTAGGATCTGGGCTATGGAGGAAACAGTCTGGATGGAAGGGCAGGAATGGGCCGGGCAGAGTTGGGGGGCACCAATGTTTGGTCTCTTAAACACTTAGTGTGAATTTTTTTCTTCATTGCATTTTGTCAAGGTGTTATATTTGTGATGTTGAAGGTTTATAACATGCCCTTTGTCCTAAGACCTTAAAGAGTCTTCCTGGACTCTGATTTATCCTCATCCTTGATCCCATATGGAATTGGTAGCCTTGTGCCCATTTTGTAGACAAGGGAACTGAGGCACAGAGCTGTTAGGTGACTTGCCCCAGGCCACCCAGTGGGCAGAGTCAGAGCTGGATTCAGAGACCCTGACCCTCAGGCCCCAGCTGGACACTGGCCCCCAGTCAATGGTTAGGTCTTGTAGCTCTGTTTAGTTTCTGGTGTGTGTGGGAGGCCTCCAGGGACTGTCCTTTATGACCTTGCTCTTTGACTCTTGCCCGGTAGGACCAGCTGGAGTCCGTGCTGGAGGTGCTTCACAGACAGATGGAGCAGTACCGAGACCAGCCCCAGCACCTGGACAAGATCGCCTGCCAGCAGAGGTTGCTGCAAGAGGACCTGGTCCACATCCGGGCGGAGCTCTCCAGAGAGTCCACTGTGCGTAGAGGCTGTGGAGGGCGGCGCACACTTCCCTCAGGCTGGGCTGGGCACAGGGCTGCTCTTCTCATCTCCCCAGCTGTAACTGAATTGGCGGCCAGGGGCAAGAGTCTTGGGGTAGCAGGCTGCCTCCTGGCAGTAGCTTACCCTGTCCAGGGGTGACGTGTCCAAGGTGCCTTAGGGTCCTTTCCATCAGCGACTCCTGCATGACTACAGTGACACCCAGGGGACCAGATCTCTCAGAGCAGCCTGTAGGCTTTTCCCTGATCTGCGTTAATTCTAAGATGTCAGAATTTCCACTGGACCTGTCCATCTGATGTGGTGCAGGCCCCTTTCTGCCAGGCCTGGGAACCAAAGTGTCCCCAAGGGTGGAGGAGGGGACAGGGCAGATGGCCAGGGTCAGAGCGTGAGTGAGAAGACAACCCATGTCTCTCTCACCAGCCCCACCAGACCTGCAGGGCTCTCTTCCTCTGCCCCTGGCGGGGCCGGCTGTGGTCAGGAGCACAGGTGTGCATGGGGCTTCTGGGGGCAAGGATAGCTAAGAACCAGAGCGTTTCCTTGGCCAACAGGAGATGGAAAATGCCTGGAACGAATACCTGAAGCTGGAGAGCGACGTGGCGCAGCTGAAGCAGACCTTGCAGGAGCAGCACCGAAGGGCCTTCTTTTTCCAGGTGGCTCAAGGGCTCTCTCCCCGTCCTGGGCTCTGATTCCTTGGGAGAGCCCCACCCTGGGCCTTCTCTCCTCTACCGGGGCTCAGCCTGCTCACCTCCCCAAGGTCTCCCTCTGGGATCCTTCCCCCAGCAAGGCTGTGATGCCCAGCTCCCCACAGTTCCCACCTCTCTGCTTTTAGACAAATTCTGGGGCGTGTTTGTAAGGGTTTTACATTTGGAAAAACAGCCCCAAGAGGAGACAAATGCCAACCTTGAGACCCTCACAGAGACCCTAGAGCAGTGGTTCTCAACCTTGGCTGCACATTAGAATCACCTGGGACAGCAGCAGACAGCCCCGCCCCCTTCCTTCTGTCCTCTGATTCCTGAAGATAGATGCTATCGAGCCTTCACCTGAGGAGGACAGCCCCGCCCCCTTCCTTCCATCCTCTGATTGCTGAAGATAGATGCTATCGAGCCTGAGGAGGTAGTGTGAATCCAGGAGGTGCCAGGCTAGGAGATACCCATCGCCGTGGCCCCTGCCCTCCTCAGGAAAGGCAGCCTTAGGGCCCAGCTTCCTCTATCCTTAAAAACCAGGCCACCTGTTGGCAACTGCCTCTGCCCCTGCCCCCAAAGGTGAGGGAAGAAAGGCCGTGTGGTTTTCTTCCTCCCGGTCCAGTCCTCAGATGCCCAGCATTCGTTCCCTCACTGTGGTGCCCAACCAGGTTCCACCCTCAGCATTTTTTTTAAAAAATATATTTTATTGATTTTTTACAGAGAGGAAGGGAGAGAGAGAGAGAGCCAGAAACATCGATGAGAGAGAAACATCGATCAGCTGCCTCCTGCACATCTCCCACTGGGGATGCGCCCGCAACCCAGGTACATGCCCTTGACCGGAATAGAACTCGGGACCCCTCAGTCCGCAGGCCGACGCTCTATCCACCGAGCCAAACCGGTTTCGGCGCACCCTCAGCATTTTAAAAATGGAAAGTAACCTGCTTTTGAACCCAGCTTCAGGTCTCTATCTCCTCTTTCAGGCCCCGTGGATTTGATTTTGAGTTCAGCGAGCATTAATTCAGCTAGGCCAGTTTTGGTGCTTGGCTTACTCATGGATAGACTAGTTCTAGCCAAGGCTTCTCACTCAAGTGATTTAATGAGTATGTTGACTCTTCTGACATCAGCCTCGCCCCAAAAAGAGATGGAAATTCAGGACTGGGAGGCTTTTCCCAGGTCCTGCTGTCCTCCCACTCACCATTGGGCACTGGGTCTAGAGAGCCCAATCCAGGGCCATGTGGAGACTCTTGCCTGTGGCTCGGGGCTGGCCTGCTCGGTCCCCAGCTTGTCTGTCTTCTGCTGCTGCTGTATTTTTCCTATAATGTCCCTGCATCCAAGCTGACTAACATTCTCCCATTCTGTTTTGTATCCCCAGCACTTAGCACAGTGGCATGAAAATGCTAGGTGACTATCGACAAAGTCCTTCACACGATTGTTTGTAATTGCTAGTTTCTTAAACTGTCCTGTCCTGTTATACATATCTTCTTGGACTTCGATGAGCCACATTAATTTTAGCAGTAATTTTTTTAGCTTCTTATTCCGTATGTTTCTATGATTATACAAATCACATGGGAATACGTCTCTCAGAAAAGTCCAAACAATGAGAAGCAAAACCAAAAAATAAAAGCTTCTCTTCCCTCTGCCCTAGACCACCACCTCCCTTGTGGGTAGTGAGTGCCTCCAGTTTGCAAAGTCGCCTTCTGACCGTTTTCTTTGCATTTCCAAACACGTGCACATACAGAGTTATTTAATTTATTTGAGTGTGACTGTTTATTTAAAGAGGAATCATTCTAACACCTTGTCCAGTAACTCACTTTTTTGTCATAACTTTATGTGGTGGCAGTCTTTCTAGGAAAGATACCCCCAAGTTTATGCTGCCCAATACAGTAGCTACTTAAATTTAAACATAACTGGATTAAAATTAACTAACATTAAAAATTTGTTCCTCAGTCACACTAGAATCATTTCCACTGCTCAGTTGCCACATGTGGCCAGTGGCTGCTATATTGGACAGCACAAATGATAGATTTCCGTAACCTCAGAAAGTCGCACTGAACATTGTTGGTCTAATTCAGCGATTTTCCAAAGGTATGCCATAAGAATTTTTAAAATATGCAACACTGACTAATTTAGTCAGTGGCACTGACCTCTTTTCCCTTAGATTGTCAAATGAAAAAATGACAACAGCCAACACAACAATAGCTGTCTAGTGTGAGTGAATCTAAATTATACCTTTTTTTTTGTCAGATCGGCAAAATATATATATTTTGGTGTGTCACAAAATTTTAGTAATTAGTTTATGTGTGCCATGAGATGAAAAAGTTTGAAAATCGCTGGTCTAAGTAAATGAAATGAAATTAGTTCTTCACGGCTCCATAGAATTTTGTAGTCTGGACAGTTCATCCTTTGCTTAGCCATTCCTCCTCTGAGGGACATTGAATGTTATTGGCCGTGTTTTGTTTTTAGAAAAGTGAGCATCTGTGTAACTGCCTTTTCAAGCTCTGTTATGAGCGCTCATCTAAGGCAGGTCCCTAGGAGCAGACTCAGTGGGTTGAAAAGAGTACATCTTCGAGTGGCTGGACGCTGCCGGATCGCTCTCTAAAAAGCTGTTCTCATTTGCCCTCCCACCCACATGAATGAAAGTACGGAACCCGTCTACCCACATCCTTGCCAGCACTTGATGTTATCACTCTTTTTAGTTTTTGCCAGTCTACTTGCTGAAAAAGGACATCTTGTTTTAATTTGCATTTATTTACTTACCTCGTAGGTTAAACATCTCTTCATGTGATTATGGGCCAGTTGTATTTCTACTGCAGCTTATTTCGTGGTGACGTAACATAGGGCAGGCCCAGAAACCTTCTTTCCCCTCCACAACACAAATGGGTACAATGTACAGGTCTTGTCACAGACTCCCTAGTAAGTGACTGAAGCAGGCCGGTTTGGACCCTGGTCCCTGCTGCTCGATATGCATCTACCTGGTGGCCCTGCTCACACTTTCCCTGATACTCAATGACCGAAGCTC